TGGCCATGCAAAGTGCAACAATTGATAGGAGATAGGTTGGACAAAATAGCTGAAAGACCGGTATCATGAGTCTTTTCCAAGCTTTTAGTTATAAATGGTGTCCATCAGGTAATACAGGAAAGGGATGCCCTTTTACATTATTTATCCTTCAATCCAATCCAATACTTAATAGGCTTTTTGTTTATTTTATTTACTTTTTCATTTATCAAATTTATATTTTCTCATATTTCTATCGTATATTTCTATCTCTAATTTATTATTCAAATATTTGTTTGTTAGCTTACTAACTTATTTATTGATCCATTTATTTATTTATTTATTTATTCATTTATTTCTAACATGTGATATCTGTGAAGAGGCATTTTTTAAATGGTATAAAATAAGCCTAAAAGAAATTGCCCTTTAACTTTTATACTTCTAATTTTTATCAAATAGACATTTATATTAATATTAATAAATTATTTCCTATTCTTTTATTATTTTCCAACATTTAAAAGGAAAATGTTTGAGAGAAAGAAATTACTGAGAAAAATGCAAAAGTTGAAAAATGAAAAATTGATTATTTTATAGTTTATTTATTTTTAATTAGCCTATATTTTCATTTCATCAATATCATTATTTAATTTAATTCGATCTATTAATCAATATATTGATAACATTTTATTATCATTTTTAATCTACAATGATTATTTATCATTTTTAATCTTCACACACCGATTCGATCTATTTATCAGTATTAATACTTGATCACTTAATCTTCATCTTGCGACTACTCTTCAAATTCTTTTCACTGATATTAAATATTATTTTACTTTATTATTTCCGATCAAATTTTCAACCGCTTCTAAAATATTTCATCCAATTGCAATCAAACTAATACAATAAATGAAAATGCTGATTATTTGTTATTATAAATTACAGTTTACAGTTGTTTGTTATTGTAAATTACAGTATACATTTTTATAGTTTACAGTTTACAATTACCGTTTACAGTTATATACATTTTTACAGTTTACAGTTTGCAATTACGGTTTACAGTTATAAATATTGTTATATACATATATTCATATAACAACAATATTTTATATTTACTATTTTCTCCTATAAGTAATTGAAAAACTAAAATTTGTAAAAACAATTTTAAAATTGATAATTTTCCTTTTTGCTTCGAATATTTAGTTAATTTGGAAATGAAAGAATTTAAAATTAAAAATTAACTAACTTATAAAAAAAGAAAGCAAACTTTGTTTATGAAATTACTGTATACAAAATATTCTATTATATGATAGCCGATCCAATAATTCGATTGTTGGATTCTTTACACATCGATCCGATCTATTTATCCATTATATGCTTTGATTACAAATAAGAAATAATTTATTAAAAATTTCATAAAAAGTAAAATAATGCAATTTGTACGAATTTCGAAATTATTGGATGAAATTATTTTTTTTTTTTTTTTATGCAAATTATAAATATTTATATAATAAATAATTATTTATTCATTTTTGAAATTATCGATATAATTTGTGGGAAAATTTTTTATTTCATTCTTCAAATTTTATTTCATTGAGAAAACCTGTTGAAGTGTTATTTGAAATTGTTGAAGAAAGTTAAAAATTAAAAAAAATGGAAAAGAATGAAGTGAAAGAATATGCTGTAAATAAATGTGACAGAAAAATTGATAACTAACAGTCGATCCCCCGGAGAATTACACATTCTCTCTCTCTCTCTCTCTCTTTGCCGTATTTTAATATTCGTAGCAATTTGGTTTGATTGGTACCATTTTGTTTCCTTCGATTACTTTTTCTCATTTTCACAATTTTAGAATTAATTAAAACAAAACAAATAGACGATCCTCAGTATCGATTGAAATTTTCCCTTTTTTTTGCAAAAATAAAAGAATAATTTTCCGTGAAAATATTTGATTCATTACAAATGCTGCTATTATTAGATGAAATTGGTTATTGAAATAATTATTAAATTATATTCTAAAAATAATATAAAATTAAGGAAATAGTTATTGAAATAATTATTAAATTATATCCTAAAAAATAATATAAAATTAAGGAAGGAAAAATTTAATTTAAATTTTATATGAATAGAAATATCAATGAATTAATTTTATCAGTTTCAAATCAAAAAAGTATATTTCTTTCATACTTTCTCACTAATTCTTAAATTATATTCAATTAAATTTTGGATAATTTCAGGATGTTCATTACCAGAGGAAGTTGTACGCAAAATTCATCAAGTGGATCAACAAAGTTCCACACTTACTGCATCCGGTATTACTGGTTTTTCGGCTCGTATCCTCGACAAGTACATGAAATTTTATTCATATAATAGTTTTTATTGATTTTTAAATTACTGAAATTTCTGTATTTAATTAATAAATTTCTGTATTTAATTTCATATGTAAACATTGTCAAAATTAATGTTTAATATTTAAATAATGCTAGCAATGATAGCAAGTCATATTTTCTCATAGTAAGTCATATTCATATTAAGTCATCTCATAGTATTCATAAGTCATCTATTCATAAGTTATAAGTCATCTATTCATAAGTTATTAGTCATCTATTCATAAATCATAGGTTCATATTCATAAGTCATCTCATAGTAATTCATATTTTCCCAACGATGGAATTAAAAAATTAGAATAATTTTTTGAAATCCATTTTAATCTTTGATATTATCGTTCAATAGAATAACTATAACATGCACACAGATCCTTACTAATACAACTTAGTGGACATTGTTTAAATAAACTTTTATTCATAAATTTTTTTAGAAAAATTCATTTAGATCGGAATATCGAATGGAAAAACGTGGAGCTGCTGGTACCGGTGATATTATTGTTGTCCAATTAGTGGAAATTATCAAAAAACCAGGACAAAGTCTTGGTTTATATCTTCGAGAAGGTAACGGTACTGACAGGTATCATTAATTCTATACCCTAAAAATAATTCATCTCATATTTTTCTCACAGATAAAACATGCAGCCAAATTAATTAGTAGAAATAATAATTAAAAATAAAATATTTTGCAATAAACTATCAATTCTACCAAAAATGCATCAAATTTAAAAGATTTTGCATCACAAGATTTTGAGTTTGATATAAAATATTTTGGTTGTATTGCGATTTGCATCACAAAATCTGAATAATAAAATGTATATTAGTATCACAGGATGATATATTAGTATCACAGAGATATCACAGGAACGTTTACTTTATCGTTTGCTAAAAAAGTGTTTCTTGGTATTACTATTTTTCTCCTTTTTGCCGTACATAATTTTTCATAGATATCTTACTGGAAATTTGTGGAAAAAAAGGTAAGCCAATTTCAGGTCATCGGGTGTATTTGCATCACGTTTCGGAGAAAATTCCGAATTAGAAAAATATGGTGATATTATTCGTCCTGGTGATGAAATCTTATCGGTTAATAATGTAGATGTGTCAGCGATGAGTATCGATGATGTAGTATTGGTACTTTCGATACCACGTCGACTTCTACTTAGGATACGTTTTATTAAAAATAAGCGGTATTTCTTCTTTTCTTCGTAAGATAACATATATTTAGAATGGCTGTAAATATCAAACTTATCATTCATATCTTGATATAAATCACTGTTATCTAATAATTACCTCTAGTGAATTCTTTGTTTAAATTTAAATCTCCATTAAAATTAAAATTGCATTACTTCTGTCATCTTATCTCTTGTAATTTATTTCTTTCTTGTTTATTGTTAACAATTAAAACAGATAGCTATAAAGCGCTTACAACTCATTTAAGATAATTGTCAGTACCTTGATGTAAGCTAATCCTCTTCCAACATTTACATAATCATAAGATAATTTCAGGGAGAGGATTACACAATCACAATCAATGGTAACACGGCCAGTAGTCGTTTTTCAACGAAGTGATCCGGAGCAACATGATGATACACCTTCATCTACTTTACTCAATCATCCAACATCAACCGCCAATACATGGCTTGGAAAGAAGGCTCGTCAACAACAGGTTTGAACTTTACGTCAATATTGCACTTAAATAATTGTTTGGGGTATAAGATTAATATGATAAGATAATTAGAGTAGTATGATACTTTTATGTTATTATCAATTTTCGTATTTTTCTTTCTTTGCATCTTTCTTTTCATATTTGACTAAATTTTAATTCCTGTTTCATTTCGTTTACTTACAGCCAGCTCCTCATGATCATATATACAAAATTATATATAAATAAGTCTTCTGAAATTATCTCCTTCCTTAATAATCTATTTTAGGATCTCTTAGCATCAGTAATAATATACTTATGAATAGATTCCATATTAATTCTTGTGCTTAATTTAATTTAAGAGAAATAAGGTTTTGTAAAAAATTGAGGAACTTTTAAATCCCTCCATTCATTCATTCATTTACTTATTCAAAACTCATTTTTGAAATTATTTTTTGAGTCCCTGTAATATCTAATTTGATAATCAATTATATTAATGATAAATGTAAATGAATGCTTAAAGTTTTCCTTTTCCTTTCCTAAAAGGACGGTCATTTAAAAAATGTAAACCTAAAATAGCTTCCTTCTTTTCCCTTATATCACCAATTCTAAGCCAGACAAAATATTTCTATTCTTATATAAATTCTCTATTTGTCTTGAAGTCCACTCATCCATAAAATTCAACTCATGAAATCCACATCTTTCCATTTTCCTCTTTTGTGGAAAGAATGATAGCATCGCTTATTTTCTAAATTTTTATGATGATAAGAGCTCAATAAATCGATTAAAATTAAACTTTCATAAGAATAAGAATTGATAAGAATTAGAATGATAAGAATAAGAATACGAATTTTGATAAGGATAAGAATTGATAAGAATATGCATTATAATTGAAAACTTCTGATGAAAACAATACTTCATTCATAATTTTATATTCTTATCAAAAGCAACAGGAAAGGATACTGAAATATTTGAAACTAAATTCATTCTGTTGGATTCTGAAACGTATGATTCTGCGTATGATATTCAATTTTTAGTAACACACGTCAGTTTGTCCGATAAAATCTGCAATTGTAATTATCACATTATCAAATCATTTCCTTTGATGTATCATAGTTAAAGAGATATTAACTAAATTTTACTGACAGATATTGAATTGAGTCTTACAAGGACATACAATATAATTTGTCTTTTTTTCCTTGATTCAATTTTAATTTTTCGATTGTTTCATTTTTCACATTTTAATTACAATCCTAAAAAGCACTTTTATTTGAGATCTTTTTTGACAATTCTCATTAGGCTTCCAAGGATAAAAATCCTGAAATTATTTGTCAAACAAAATATGAAGCACAATAATAAAATTGAAAAGAAATTAACATACTGAAGATGTGGAAAGAATGTGGAAGATGTATTATAATTTATCGAAGTAAAATTTAATTTCTGAAACTAAAAGTAAAAAAAACACAGAAAGTATCATTCATTCGAACAGAATCTTAGGAATGACTGCTTTGTTAGAAACCTAAAATCAGAATCTTAGGAATGACTGTATTTCGTTTCTAAAATCAGAACTTTAGGAATGACTGCATTTCGTTCCTAAAAATCAGAATCTTAGGAATGACTGTATTTCGTTCCTAAGATTCTATTTAAAGATGTGTTGTTTTTTGATTCGCTAAATGAAGTGCATTTTAAAAAAAAAGGATGATTTATTGTGAATGCAAACGAAAAGATTGATAAGTTATAGTGATAAGGGCCATTATACATTTCTGCATTTCTAATAATATATTATCAACTGATTAAAATTATGCAAAAAAATTCAGAAAATGGCTAAACGATGCTCACAACCATCCTCTGCATCATCTTTAGCAACAGCAACTGGTGTACCATCGATGATGACGATGAGTCCACGGCAACATTTTACTGGTCATTCATCTCGTCTCTTGAATAGTCAAACGGAAAAATTGGAAGAGACCGTTTCACGAACTGCTCGTGTACCACCTCCCAAATTATTGCCTTCTATGGTACGTCATACTGACAGTTTCACCACTACTGCTCAATTACCCACTCAGGTAGAAATTGTAATTTCATTTTTTGATATAATATGTAATATATTTAAGTGATTATTTAATAAGATTTCAAGGTATATTATTAGTTAAAACTCTTTTTGATGAACCTATTCGATTACTTTGATGATGATTTAGATCATAATATTCAGTTATTTTCAGATGCAATATACTTATTCAATGCCTCGATCATTAACCCAACGACCTGTGCCTCTGCCACCTTTTCCTGGGCCATCAACTGCTCCTGACTACCTCTCGGCATCATCTAGCTACGGTGCTTTTCCGGGAAGTCTTGGTCTTTCACAATTCCATGTACCACCCGGTACATCTCGTCCATTGCCTATCAATCAACGTTCGCTCAGTGATGTAGCTGGTTACGCTATGCATCATCCTCTTTGTTCTCCTCCAGGAGCTATGGATCCGAGGTATATTTTACGTGGTCAATCAGCTTGGCATCCAATTGAATCATCAGATAGAAGTAACTCATTACCTCGTCGACGTGCTGTCTCAGGTACCACCCCATCACGAACTGTGAAATGGCGAAATGATGTCATAGATGGCGCAAGTTTGTTTTATATTTTAATCGTTAAAATTTCAATATTTAGGATTTTACATTGATCGTAAAAAAATTAACTATATCAGTTGACCTGTAATGACCTATTCTTTAAATATCTTTACGAATTAGAAATTAGTCGATAGCAATTTGATTATTCAAAAAAAAAGTAGAAAAATTAACTATATCAGTTGACCTGTAATGACCTATTCTTTAAATATCTTTACGAATTAGAAATTAGTCGATAGCAATTTGATTATTCGAAAAAATAGAAAAATTAACTATAACAGGTGACCTATGATGACCTATTCTTGAAATATCTCTACGAATTAGAAATTAATCGTTAGCAATTTAATTATTCAAATTTAGAAAATTAACTATAACAGTTGACCTATGATGACCTATTCTTGAAATATCTTTACGAATTAGAAATTAATCGTTAGCAATTTGATTATACAAATTCAAACAAGTTATTTGTTTAGTTTTGCCATTTTTAGTTTGTCTGAAGTAAGCAACAAAAAAGTACGAAATATCATCATATATTTTCATTTTCTACATTTTTCCACTTCCTCTTAAAACGATGAATTGTCTTCTTCTTCTCAGCATATTTCCTCCCATACATACATATCTTAATGTTACCGTATCCCAGAAATCTCTCAAAAAAAAGATATTTCTTTCTTCAACTTTAATTTCACATATTCAAGTTATTATTTGTTGTGAATTTTTTTCAATAAGATGTTTAGAAGTTTAAATTAACTTACTTTATGGTTAGCAAATAAGGGCATTTTTGAAGTACTTATCGATAGCAAATTGAGGAGTTTGATATTACATTATGAATTGTTGATATTACATTTTATTAGCACTTATCGATTCTTATCTCTTTCGCTAATATCTTCAGAGATTTTCATTCGAATTCATTTCTTCATACTTTTAATATATTTTGAAAAATTCCAAATTTATCACCGAAATTCGGGATTTTCTTTTTCTTCGTTCATTTATTGTCTATTTCAATATTCGAAATTTTTTTAAAATTAATATTCGAAATTTTCTTTTAATTAAAATTACCTGAAAATTTCTAATTATTAATTACTTTTGAAACATTCGTTTAACATTACTTCTATTAACTATAAATGGTATTCTTCGAAGAAATTCACTGTTACACTATTATGCGAAATAATCATAGTAAATAATTAAATGATAAATTTCTAAACTAAATTGAACAACTAATTTAAATTCTTTTCCCTTTTATTCATTAGCATAAATTTGTGGAGAATTTACTACCATTCAATATGCAAATTTAATTATTAAATACTAAGTGGTTCTTTTTGTCGTCAGTTTTATTAAATTTTCTTAAGTGAATCAAATCGATTTAAATTTATTGCTTTGTTAAATTAATGGAAAAATGTATTGAAAAACTTAGTATTACCTTATTATATTTTATACTGAATTTTATTTACCTTCTAACTTAGTAATATCTTATTATATTTTGTACTGAATTTTTATTTACCTTTTTAACTTAGTAATACCTTATTACATTTGTACTGAATTTTATTTTCTTTTAACTATAAAACCTTATTATATTTCGTACTGAATTTTATTTACTTTTACCTTTTACCTTATTTAATATCATTTATGAAATAACTACTCATCGATTATGAATTTTAATTTAAAATACTTTAAATTAATTTCATGAAAGTTTATGTGGAAAATATTATAATATTTTTGGTTATTAAAATTTGAAAAGTTTAATTTTTTATTTTTATTTTTATAAATATTACAGGTGTGAAATAGATGAAAATACTTGATATAACTAGCAGATGCTATTGTTGGAAAACGAAATATTTTAGTGAAATTAATTAATTGCCCTTGAAATTAGTTACTCTTGAAATTCATGAACGAGAATTGAAATTCATATTTGATTCACTATTTGAAATATCTAAATAATGAATATTTTAATTTAATTAAAAAATTTTTATACTAATCTTATAGGATTTAAAAAAAAAATAATTCTTCACTTACCTGAATCTTAATTTACCTGAGTATAAATTATTCCTTCCTTGGAAAAGCGCAAAAACCAGCTAAATTATTACATTTTAAAGGTGCTAAAAATATTTTTTGATTCATTTCATACCTGAGTGATTTTATATTGTTTTTATTTTTTTCTACCTGAGCTTATTTATTTATGAGTTTCAGATGCTCGGATGCGTTTTGGTGGTGGTAATATTAGTGGACAGTATGGTCGAACGATTGATGATATATTTTCGGCGCAAGAATATCGTAATTGGGCATGTATCGATGCAGGAATTAGACCGCAGGAAAGGCAATCAAGATGGTCACATACATACGGTGAAAAACCTGGTGCTTCAATTCGAAGCTCTTCGCTTCCTTCCAGAGCTATGTTAACTGCTGTTAGTTACTGTAATTTAACGTTCAATAAATTTGATTTTCAAAATATCAAAATAATAAATTTTGCATAAACTTAATTCTTTATTATATACTACAAAATGCATTACCTAAAGTATATAATAAGTTCTTTGAAAATCTCAATAATATTTAAAAACAAAGAAAAAATAAACTTGATGGATTTGTTAATGAGCGTCTTCATTTCTTCAGACAAATAGATTCTCGCTTGGTCATGAACGAGGTGATCTGCTAGATAGATTACATGTATCTCCGTTGATGAATCGAAGGGTACCATTACGGGTGGCAGGACCAGGCTTTGATGTTGATACTCCATTAGATGTCACTTCACTTACAGGAATTCTTATTGTACAGGTATTTATTTCAAATTAAAATTACTGTACATTCAATTTTAAGAATTGCAAGAATTATCGTTCCGTTGCTTAATTGCTATTTTTACTCCCATTACTTAATTATTGTTTATCACTTAACTGTTGTTGTTTTATTGTTAATTATTACCTTCAAGCAATTATTACTTTTTGTTTGTTACTGTTTTATTTTACTTAACAGTTAGTTTTCATTGCTCTTTGCACTTCAACCAATATTTTATATTTTCTTTTATTTGTGAATATTTTATTAATAGGATAAAATTAATTGCAAATTTATAGATTATCGAAGGACGAGGATTAAAAATGCCGGAAAAGCAAAAAGCATTCACCGAAGAGATGTATTGTGTGTTGGAGGTGAATGAAATACATCGTGCTAGGACAGGTGTTTCCACAGCTGAACAGAAATTTCGATGGCGTGAAACGTTTGAAATTGACGTACAACATGCTACCCATACTAACTTTTTCGTGTATTCTTGGCATCCACAATACAGGTAAATTTTAGTAAATTTAAATAAGTGAAAACTTAGAAAAATATCTAAGCTAATTATTGATTGTATTATTTAGGCATAAATTGTGCCATAAAGGATCATTGAAACTATTGGAAGCATTTGTAGTGGACCGCTTGAATGGTAATAGAATGTTTGCATTGAATTTGGAACCGAAAGGTCAACTAATTGTCAAAATTGCTTTTCATAGTCTTGTCGTAGCATTTCGAAGGATTGTTAATTCGAGGTTAGTATTTTTTTTTCTTATTAAATTATAGTTATTTAAATTTCGAATTTTAAATAGTTAAAAATTTAAGAATTTATTATAACGAATGCATATTTATATGCTGAAAATTTTTTTACAGGTTTGACGGATTATTTGGAATACCTTTGCAACAATTGGTTGCAAGAGAAGGACGCGAAACACCTTTGGTACTTTTCCGCCTTCTACAGGAAATCGAACATCGTGGTGTCGATTACTCCGGTCTTTACATACGTATGTTAGCAAATAATTTGAAATTTCAAAATTTAGAAATTTGAGAAAAAAAACCTAATATCGTATTTTTTCATATATCAATCAATACACACAATATAGAATATATCAAAAGTTTTTGAATTGGATATTATTGATAGCATTTATTTGTAGTTATGATATTGCAGTATGTGGATCATTGGAGAAAAAGCGTATGTTACGTGAAGAATTAGAATTAAATGTGGAACGAGCACGATTGAGCGTGGAAGCAGTTCCAGATACGAACGTATTGGCATGTTTAGTGAAAGATTTTTTGCGTGAATTACCGGAACCGTTGATATCAACTTCAATTTATAGCATGATTGTGGAAGCATTTTCTGTTGCATTGCCCAATGATCCGCGAGGAAATCGCCGTTTGTTACTTAGAGTTATCGATTGTCTACCTGCACCCAATAAGGTATATTACAAATTAATTTTTTCAAGTTTAGTTTTTTCAACCATCACATTTACTTTATTGTTTGAATATTCATTTTAAATTTAAGCTGTTGTTTTAAAAAGTATTCCTATCACTGATGAACTGATAAAGATACATGGATTTAAATGTCATAAATGTAATGTAATTTTTAAGAAAGGTGTGTTACGACTTTGTTAAAAGGTGTATTAATCATTAAAATTAATTCTGAAAGTTATTGTCATCAGTTCGTTATTTAATATTAACTCTAAAAATAATACGTAATTTTTTATAGAATACACTAATACAAATAATGGATCATCTAAAGATGGTAATGAGTTGGGAGCAGCATAATGGTATCACTACCGCACGTTTGACGGGTATTTTTGGTTGTTTGCTTTTCTGTTCCTGTAATACACCAACGGAGAGTAGTAATACTCAAAGTAGCAGTGGTATTTATCCACCAAAGACTATCGTTGATCCGTTAGATACGGATCAGGCAGCTCGAACACTTCGTTTGTTGGTTGACATATGGCCAAGCCGAGTTAGTAAGTCTAACTAATCATTTCTTCCATATATTTTAACGCTATCAATTTTTAATAGTTGTTGATAAATTTAATTACTCAATTTAATTATTCATTCGTAATTTCTTTTCTTCAGCTTTCCACTTCTATTAAATTTTCAATTTTTTAATTTTAATTAAATTTTTTCTATTATTTTCTGGAAGTGACATGCATAGTATACCTTAGCTATATGTATGGTAAATTTTAATTTCTTCTATTGCTAGATTTCTTTTCTTTTGAAAATTTCAGATGGCAGCGAGAGTAGTGGTTCCGGTTCTGCCAGCAGTACAGATGTGACAAGCGCCATAAATCCGGTATCAGAATCTCAGTGTTGATTTAGCAGAACGTTAATGCTCATTTGACAGTAACCTCTGTGAGTGTTAGTGTAATCGCTACTACATCAACTACTGCCGCTGCTACAATAATAACTAATTTCTTAGTTATGCTATGATAATTGCAATCATTTCACATTACAATGCTATTACTACCATTATTATTATTATCATCGTTATCATTATTATCATTACTATAATTATTGTTACTTCTTAGGATTAATTTTGCTAGCATTATTGCTTCTTTCACACTTACAAATATGGGATACGTTCATAACTGCCTATGTAAGAATTATTGCTAATGCTTATTTTTGTTATTAATTAATTGATTGATTCATAAATTGGTTGATTTCATTGATTATTTTGATTGTTTACTTGATAGCTCATTGATTAATGATTAAATGATGTGTTGAATTCATTGATTAAATGTTAATTGTTTACCAAAACTGCCTATTGTGTCATTAAGCCTAATTATTATTAAATCTACTCATTTAAAATGGTATCAAAGTCACTTTTAATCTATAAATTTTCTCTTATTCTCTCCATTTTCTCTTTTCTCTTCATCTTTACTCTATCACTTTAATTATTAACAAAATTATATCAATGATCATTTATCTTAAAATTCGACCCTTTATATAAATTTATTCATGCAGTTAACAGTTCTTCATTTTTTAATCATAAACTTAGCCTAATTCAATATAAGCTTCCTAAATCATAGGTCTATCCATAGGCGATCCTATCGCATATTATCATTAGGCGATCTTATCGCATATTATCATTTCATTGATCGATCGATTTTGCAAGTTTAAAGTATTTTCCTTTCATTGATCGATCGATTTTGCAAGTTTAAAGTTTCAAAATGAAAATTTAGAATTATTTGAAATTCCAAATTAAGAAATGAAAGAGAAGATGAATAATCATAATGAATAATCAATCAAATTTTAATACTTCCCAAAAATAGTTCTTCTCTTTTTCTTTTCCTCTCTTTTCTCTTTTTGTTTATTTCTTTTCTCTTTTTATTTATTTCTCTTTATTCATATGTTGCAATATTTTTGTGTTCAAATGATTTCTTCCATTAAAATTGTTTACATATTTTTTTGTTTGTTTATTTCATTTGAACTTACTTATTTACAACTGCTATTAATTATATACGAGCTCACTTATACTAATTTTTTCTCTTGTTTTTTTTATCGTTACGTTATCAAATTCATTCATTCATTATTGTTTTGTTTTTATTTTGCAAATTGATTACTTATCATTAAAATTAGGATATATTCGATGTTGAATTCTTTTTTTCACTTGAAAATTTTCAATAAAAAGATGCTGATACGGTACTGATACGGTACATTCATTTGATTATTTGCATTTGATGTAGAAAAATATGAAGGAATTAATTTATCACAAAAATGATATCTAAAATAGGAATAAATTTAATTCAACAAATTAGGTAGGATATTCCATAAATGTTCTCAATACTCGACTTGGAAATTTTTTGTTTTCAATTTTTGATTTGATATAGAAAAAATGAAAGAAACTAATTTATCACAAAAATGATATCTAAAATAGGAATAAATTTAATTCAACAAATTCGGTAGGATATTCCACAAGTCTTTCCAAAATTCGATTTGTAAATTTTTTGGTTTCAGTTTTCAGTTCTTTCTTCTGATGTTCATGTAATTCTGTTCCACTATGTTGGAAACTAATGAAGCAAAAAATTTTTTTTGTAAAATATTCAAATCTCATAAATTTTAAAGTAATTAAATTTTAGGTGAAGTTCGTTAATGTATGTCATTAACTTGACATATTCAATGATATGATAACGTTAGGTAATAATAATAATGCTTATACGAAATGGATTTCTTATATATTTCATGAATGATATCATTACAATTTCCGGTAGAATTAAACTTAATCTTTTATGGCACTTTAGCACCATCATAATTCCGGTTATTTAGAACAACAAATCTTTCCGATGATTATACGGTTACAAAATCAAGTGCTGTATCAAAATATTAACATTTCAATTATCATATTGGCTAACTAATTTAAATTAGCCACAAATTTCCCACAAATTTTCCTGATAATAAAAAAACTTTTTAATTATTTAATTATCTCTTAAATCCTTTTTTGAAGTAAAATAAAATATAAATTTTTTTTTTCCTCTTTTTTAAAAATAGAGGGAAATTTTCATCAATGTTGTATTTTCTTCTTTCTGCAATAATAAAATTATTTGGATACATATGTAATATACATTATATTACATATGTATCCAAGTAATTTTATTATTATTGCAGTATCATTTAATTCAATGGTACCTTTTAATGAATGCATACGTTGTCAAGGCAACTAAAAATAATACATTACCATAGATTTTTGCAGTAGTAGTAATGATGAATCGTTATTACTAAAATTATAATTTTCAACTTAGCTTGCTATAAAATTGATTTGTTCGAATTCATTATTATTTATTAACATGCATAGAAACTAAACTATTTCCTTAATCTTATTTCAATTATATATTCTTTCTACTTTCTCTGTAATTATTACTATTATTTATATTTTATGAGTGATATTGCGTCATATTGCTTTATCAGAAAAATTGAATCTATTTTACGTATTTGTTGAAAAATATCATTAATGATTTATTCATTATTTTTTCTACTTTTCACGTACGTGTTTAATTCAACGCATACCACGTTATTATTTGATTATATTACACCATATAATTGCTCTAAATTTAACGCTTATTTTGATTCATTAAATTTACGTTGTCATAACTGTAATAAAAATGCAATTGCTAGTGTAAATCATTTACACTGTTTCTGTCCAACAGGTTTCATTCAAACTTCTGATGGTACTTGTGAAAAATGTGAACCAGGTAAGTGCAGGCTTTATTTTTCCTCTTCCATCAATTATAGTACGAAACAAAAGAATTAATCTAAAAAAGAAACTAACCTAAAAAAGAATGATAGTTTTTAGATTGCGCAAAAATTCCTTTCTATTTTCAAATTACAATTTACAATTTATTGAAGGGAAAAAAGTTAGCGATGATGGTCATTTTTGCATTGAATGCTCAATGACCGGAAATGAAAATCAATGTTCATCATGTCCATATCGATATTTCGCCCAACGCACAATAACAGATGATGGTATCTTGAAAGCAGAAAAATGCTCAAAATGTCCTGCTAATAAAAAAGTTTCCAGTCGTGGTGATACATGCATACCATGTCTTAATACAGATGATATATGTGAATGTCAGGTATTATTATTTTATTCTAAGTTTATTAAATTTGAAGCATTTTGCAATTTCTATTGAAATAATTTCAACATAACGAATAGCAAATAAATATTCCTAAAAGAAAATTTTTCAATTAAAAATTTAATTTTATCAATTTTTTTACTATTTTAATTTAATTTAAATTCAATTTAAATTCAATTTAAAGTTAAGTTTTAGATTTCAAATTTGAAAAAAAATTTTGTCAAATTTGAAAAAAGCAATTTCTCCTTCTAATCAGTTTTTCTTTCAAATCAAAATTGAAAATTTTAGGATAATGAAATATGTCAAAAAATTGAAGAAAATAAATTATTAACAATGATTGAGCTTGAAAATGGCTCGCAGGAAAATTCCATTTATATTGCAAAGAATATCGGAAAAGCGATATATGGTTGCAACAATAATAATACGGAAGCTTGTCAACATTTAGCTAATATTTGTGTACTACAAAATTATCGTACCGAACAATCTTCAGCATGTACGGAATTCAAAAAAATTGCTAATTCTATGTTTTATAAACGGTAATTCAATGAATCGAAATTTTCTCTCTAATTTACACTTTCTTTTTAAAATTAAAATTTCTTAAATTTCAGGTCGAAAAAAGAATAATAGTTTATTAATTATAATTTTCTAATTATAATTTACTTAACAAATATGCTTGAAAAATAATTTCAAATTTTAAAATTAATAAATATTAAAATTTATGATTTGAAATTAAAATATTTTTTTATAGCTTTCACGATTTATCAATTAATTAAATTAACAATTATTAGTAAAAAATTAAAACAATCAAAAAAAACAAATTAAATGTTTCTATAATTTTCAGAAATAGTGAACTACTAACAACACCAATTTTATTTTATACCAATAGCGAAGCATCAATTGAACTACTGCATGAAGCTGCGATATCAGCAACTTTCAGTTTTAATAAACAACATTCGAATTCATTCCTGGAAATTATCCTAATTCAATATGCTCTCAATGGTACTTTCCTTGGAATGATATCATTGAGTGAAAGTAATTTAAATGCATGTACACAGCAAAAGGATAAATTTCATTTTGGAACATTTTATAAGATGAAATGTTTCGTACAACTTCAACATTTAATGGATCTTTCCGGTGGTGAACCTATTTTTAGCGATTTATTTATTTTATTCATGAATAAATCGGGTCAGAAGCAACTATATGCTGTACCAATTTTAAATGAAAATATACGAATGCATCATGAATTTGTAAATCGTTTAACACCAAATGAACTTTACAATCCAAAATGGATTCTTACTCGACGATTGTATTTCGTTGATGCAATTTCATTAAATACTTTAAATGGACTACAACATTCGGTTATCGTTCGATATCCGGAAAAGATTGATATTAGAATACAAATAGATGTATGTGAAATTTTTGAAGATTATATCGAATTCTTCAATTAAATACTTATTTCAAATAGCATATGTTAATTTTTGTATGTTGCGATGAAATAATGAATCAAATTTAAAATCACTCGAAAGGTTTAAATTTTAAAATTAAGATTTCAAAAAAACTTCTCATAGAAAAAGATATATATATATATATAAGATTGTCTTTAATTAGGCTGAAAGCGATGGTCATATATTAGCACCGCATTTACGAATTCGGCATGCGGAAGTACAATGGAATCCGGAAAAGCAATTATTGTTACAATTTGATATCACTTATATTGCTAATGAATCGCAACTTTTTCAACATTTCGAAATTGTATTACTGATTCTGGCTGCCTTCTCATTTATTTATGCAGCTATACGAGCATACAGGTAAAATTATCAGTAATCATTTCATTTTTATCATTTTAAGTCTTTCATTCAACAATTATTCATTTTATCAAATTTAACATTAATTATAAAATTAAAAGGTAATTAATAATTTTCATGCAATATTTAAATTCATTTAGTAGTAGACAAATTATGAATGCTAATTAATTACTTGAATAATGGAATGTTAGGATGTTATCTTACTCGTAAAAAAATATTGATAATTGTTGATAATGTTGATAAGATAATTTCAGTTGGGGAAAGCGTTCTGGTAAAATGATTATTGATAGTGCGACACTTATCAAACTTATCTTTTTTGAATTGGAAATTTTAAGTGATATATTTATTTTTGTTACTCTAATACCAACTATATTTACTATTTTTGCATATAAAATGCAACAAATACCACAGTATGCTGTGTTCAGTCATAAACAGGTAAGAATGAAGTGATAATCTGAAACAAAGAAAGATTGCAAAAATTTACTACAATCAAATTTGTCAATAAAATTTCATAGTTAATTTCGAAATTTAAAATTCATCTTAGATTAAAATTTCAAAAATGATGATATATTAGTACTACAAATGGATTAATTAAATATTTTTATATTATAAAATTGCAACTAATTAAAGTAGTGTCCTAAAATTTAGGATAAAATTTAAAGAAAAAGCTAATAAAAACTAATTAAACTTCTGTCCTAAAATTTAGGATAAAATTTGTTAATATTTCAAATGCTATGTATGAGTGTGTTAGTTTGATAGTTGATATTTTAGTGAAATAAATGAATAAATTATAATTGTTTTTCAGGAAAAAACATTATTAACATATATATTAATAGCAGCGATACTTAAATTGATCAGTTTATTTCACTGTAGTGCTAATTTAATTCTTACCAAAACATTTTTCATCGATTGGGAACGACCTCATGTGACCTTTGAAAAAAGTAACACAACACCATCATCATCATCATCATCATCTGATACGAAAAAGAATGTTAAACTCACCAAGCCTATTATATGGTATAATGAATCATTCCAATTTTAATTTCAATCACTAAATTTAGATCAATTTGAATTATTAAGTTTAAATCGTATCAATAAATTCATTTCAAATCGATTCATTCCTATTTAATTCTTCATCATTTTATTTGTGAAAAATTAATTCGTGCAATTAACTTATATTAGATTTTTCATCGCTGTAATTATTTTATTTATAATTATTAATGCTTATATAATTATTAATATTAATATAATATTTATAATAAATATTTATAATTATTACAGATATAATTGAAATAATTTCGAACACATTACTACAGATATACTAAATTATCCAATTAATTACAGACTTACTAAATTACTTAATTGATTACAGACTTAATTATAGACTTACTAAATTATAATTGTGTTTGTTTTTTAGTTCCGTTTCGTTTTTTGCTTTTTTAATATTCTTTTATACTGTTGGATATTTTTGATTATTCTTTGGCTTTGTTGTTTATTTTTTTAATTCTCTTAATTAAGTTCTTTTGATTTTATTTATTCTGGATTTTATTTATGTTTCTGAGTTGTTTGGTAGGTTGATTTTCTGAAATACCTCTAATTAATTAAGGTTTTAAAATAATTTCTAAAGAAAATAAAATGAAATTTTAATTTCAAGGCGAACTTGTCTATTAGCAAACGAATGGAACGAATTACAAGGTTATCGCAAAACAAGCGTTTGTTTACAAATGATCACTATGATCGCATTACTTCATTGGTTGAAACTTGAAAATTGGGCAATTATTACACCTGGATTACATACCGGTAATAATTAAAAATTAGATAATAAACTCTTTATTTAGAGATTTGTAACCGAAAGGTATTTTAAAAAATTTTGAATAATAATTTCATCAAATTTTTAATTAAAAAATAGTAAAAATTTATTAACCACTGAAGTATATTTTAGGCAATATTAAATTATATTATAATTAATGCAGGTAAAATATTACTTTTAATAATGAATTAAAGAATTATATAATTTTTTTTGTTTTATAAAATTTGAAATGAAATTTATAATTAGAATTAAAATTTGTTAAATTTTCAGATGTTCCGATATTTTCTGCAAGTACAACATTAAGCGAATTAGCCATAATTAGCAGTATTTATTTGGCAGTATCAGTGATTCAATGGCTTTTAAATATCACAGTTATTGAACGATTCTTATTAGATCCATTTCATAATTTAATCGATCTATGTTCAATTTCAAATATTAGCGTACTTGTCCTTACGCATCCATTACATGGATACTATATACATGGTCGTTCAGTACATGATCGAGCTGATACTGATATGGTTGAGATGAATCAATGCTTACAGAGAGAACGAGTAATACTTTTAAAGCTTCTTTTTATCTTTTTCAAATTTTCAAATTTAAAACTAGTTATGAATTTAAAATTAATTATTATTAATTACTATGAAAATTGAACTTAAAATTAATTATTATGAAAATGGAAATTTTATAATTAAAATGAATCATTATTATTCTATATAATTATTAGCATAATATGGCAAAAATTATTTATTCATTTATTATTTATTTAATATATGCTTATTAGACGTGAATTCAATATAATATTAGCCGTTAAATTTATTGATTAATTAAGTTTATTCAAATTTTATTGATTAATTTATTTTTACTACTAAATTTATTTGAGCAATTTATTTTATATAAAAATGAATAAATAATTTTGTTTATTAAATAGGAAGGAATTGTTTAAGGAAAATTTATGTGGTACACGTGGTTTGGAAGCAGGTAGTGACCTTCAAACTTATATCATTAATCTACCAAGAGCATTTCGTGAACAATTCGATGCAGCATCACAAATATTAGAAAATGAAGTCGAACAGGGTGATAAATTTACCACTAATCATTTTGATGCCACAACTGCTAATATTCGAAAAATTGCTAAGGTATTATTTATTTTATTTTATATTATTTTCTATCTATTTATTTATTTATTTGTTTATTTGTTTATTGATTTATTTGTTTATTTATTTATTTATTTTATGAATAATATACGAAAGTGATAATAGTAGTAAAATAGTAAAATTTCCAAAACAATAAAAAGATATAAGTTTATGAAAATTTGAAATCATAAACAAAATATTAAGAAGATTTTTTTTTTAGGAATATTATTCGAAAAAACATATTTTAAAGTAAAACAAATTAAAATTTATACAAATAACAAATTTAAACTAAATTAAATTTAATTTATTAATTAATAAAAGAAGTTCTAAATCGAAAATATAAAAATTTGCATATCTTAGGGGCGTGAACAATTGAATAATTTCTTAATAAAATTTATTGAACACAATAATCTAAAAGTGGATTATATTGTTGATGATCCAACATTACTTGAATTATTATTCGATATCGAATTTATTGATTCGACAAATATTGGCCATTTTCTAAGGTTGGAATAATATGCATATTTATACAATTTATTCAATACGTAAACGATCTTTGAACTTTAACTAGAATGACAAGAAAATTGAGCTCAAGATAATAACTTCTGTAATCAGTGGGATAGTAGGTAGGCATGCATAAATAGTAAGAATTGGTATGTATAATGTATAAGCATAAGTCTATAGTATGTATAAATAGGTATGTATAAGATAGATATGTATAATGTATAAGCATAAGTATATAGGTATATATAAGATTGGTATGTAAAAACAGAGATATGTATAAAAACAGAGATAGAGATAATTATGATTACTAGATAAGATAGAGATATGTATAAATTATGATTACTAGATAAGATCGATAACTTGAAAAAAAAACTGTAAATAAAGTAGCACTGTTAAATGCATAATGTTATCTATGTAAAACAAAAGTTATTAATAAAATTAAAATAAATTTCAAAAAATTCGTTAAGTAATTAGTGAGCGATGAAAATTATGTGATAAGATAGAGTGATAAAATTTGCTATCGATCGAAATATTTTAACAATTATTAGGAGAAGATTATTAGGAGAAGTTGGTTTAACAATTTTTGATAAATGTATAATTTGAAAATTTAATGTATTAAGTTTACTTGAATGAATTAATGTAAAATTTATAAAGTGTATTAGAGTGAGTGATTATATAAGTATGATAATTTTGATTGATAATAATTTATGATGCTAATTTTAATTATAGGGATAAATCAGAAATAGCTTATAGTGGAGCATTCATATATGGTAATGAATGGATTTATTTATCATTTGAATTATCATTATTTTGTAGTGTGTATATTTTCACGAAGAGTTATACATGCTCAGCTTTTATTACTTATATCGTATCAATTATTATCAAAAATCTTATCGCAACCTATTTCACTAATCATCTTATCAAAAGTAGTTATGTTGATCATCGATTTCTATTTTGATCATTCCTTTTATTCTATTACTTTAAATAATAATGGACTATGAAGTGATCGAAATATATTTATCGGGGAGTATTAATTAGTTAATCCAGATTTTACGATTCAAATAAAATGATAAAAGAAAATGAAATTTGGCTTGTCTACTTTTTAAGGCAGTTAAGAAAGTTTAAGATTATAAACTTTCTTAAGTATCTCTAAAGTTTCTTCAAGATTATGAAAATTCATAATTAAAACAATAATTAATGCTGCAATATCAGATGAGAGCATCATACAATCGAATAGTTAGAATAACATTTTTTATTATAGCAAATCTAATTATAAAGATATAATAAGTCCTTCAAAGATTTTCTTAAGTTTTTTAAATAATTATTCAAAGAAGAAACTTAAGAGTTTCTTTGTGTATTTTATTTTCTATTAGTCATCACTTTGTCTCTCTCTCTCTGTCCCTTTTATTTCCGGTTATCTGTTTATCGATTGTAATGAATTACATAATTACTCGTCGCTATGAATAATAAAGAAAATGAAATCTTTCACTGTTTTATCGAATTACTCGTCGTAATGTGATTAAGGATGAAATGATCTAGACTGTTTATTGCTAGCTTTTTCGGAGGGATACGGAAATCCGGACTGAAAATAGCTTAACTTTTTAAAATATTAACATTTGCTTAGTTTCATTAAACGATAGCATACAGGCAGGGGAATTATTCAAGGTGCAATATTTGAACAGAAATTTCTTTTTAATTGTATTTTCTAACTGATAAGGTAGAAAATTTTGAGATAGGCGGGACAGTTTGTGGCGTAGTGTTCATTTGATAGCTTACTTTCGATTGATGACTTTGTTTGGTAGCTTGCTTGGAGGGATACGGAATTCCGGACTGAAAGTGATCATATGTGTCGTAGTCAAATTGGAATGACCTTAAGAGGGAATCATACTTCGATCTTTTTCAACGTTTCTGCGGTAGTTTCTGGCTAGATCATTTTCATCGATTTCAGAGATTTTCTTATTGGTAATTTCTCCAATTAAGAAATTCTCCCCATTTGTATTAATCATCATATTATTGTTCTCTTATTTTCGGTTTATCGATTGTAATGAATTATATAATTACTCGCTCTAATGAGCAAGGAAGAAAGAAAAATGTCCTTTACTGATTTATCGAAAAATCAATGTAATGATGAAACAAGACTTGACTCTTTAAAACATTGTATTATTTCGTCTCATTCACTATTAATGTGCAGGCATCGTTGTTTGAATAAAAATTTTTATGAATTTCCAAAATTTTTGATATAACTTTTGGTTTGGATTGAAAATCGAGACAGTATTCGATAATTCTCTGCGATATTGTTGTTTGAATAAAAACTTTCTAAATTTTGGTTTGGATTAAAATCGATACAGTGTTCAACAATTCTCCGCGGTATTATCATACGAATTCCTCAGAATGAACGTAGTGCCAGATATGGATGACTTGTTGAATGAGCTTGAAGCTGCTGAAACGTCTGAGAAGCTGAAGTATGGTGCGAGTGATCCAGTAACGAGCCCAAAAGTGGTTCTTTTGGATTCTGCGAATGATTTTAATGAAAAGCGAAATACTACACATGTCCTGCATGACGATCATATCGGTATATCCATTGTTGTTGGAAAGTTTCTTTATATCATAAAAGCAACGAAGAAATAATAACGCGATGACATGCTGAAATGCTTCAAATAGCATGGAAAGCATGGAAAATACAATGGAGTGGTGAATTAATAGCATGGAAAGTAAATAAGAATAGCATGAAAAGTACGATGGAGTGGTGAATTAATGAATTAATTACGTCAGATTTCGAAGTATTTCAGAAGAGGCTGACAATATAGCTACTGTTGATATCGATGCAACAAGCGTTCTATATGATATTATCACTTGTTTATCAGCCAATGAAAATGGCAGTTTACGCTGTAGTGTAGAGGCAAAACCGGACGATATTGCAGAACAAGTTACTGAAATTTTAAAAGATTCAACAAGTGAAAATTTAATTTCGGAGAGCATTGGTGATTGTAAAAAAGATAGTACGAGGGTTAGTTTTGCATTTCATTATAAAATTTACGCAAAATAATACATAGTAAAGATTTACGACGTTTGCTTTGGATGTTCTATTTAGAACTAAAATATTTAAATGGAGTAAATATGTTCTTTAAGTCTATTACTTTAAAAGTATGTGAACGATCAAGCGCCTACAAGTAAGAAGTAATTATTCAACAAAGGGAGAAAATATCGTGTTTAATTAGTCATTTTGTAGTTAGAGACATTTTGACAAAAAATAGGAATTTAGGGGTTTTAACTTGTTGAACATTTAAATGATGTCGCACTCACTTATATCACTACGCAGGTGTCAATTTCATAGATGTATCGGATTTTATTTGAGAATATTTTATCTAGTTTGTCTCAAAACACCTCGACCTGTTTCTTTGAAAATAAGTCATGTCACTTTTTAACCAAGACAGATTTGTTTCAGGAAAATTTATTGCATTTGTTTTTAGGATAGTTTATCGGATCATCCGAGCTCATGTTCTAATGTTGTTTTGAATGAATGCAAGGAAACTAATTTTGGGAAACTCTTCAATAAGGTATGACTTATAAATCCTTTAATTTTCAGAATTATTTGTTTTATGACTGTTGGGATTCGATTTATTGATTGCGTGGAAGAAATTGTTCACCAGTTTTAGAGCTGGTTGCTGTTTAATAAAGAATGCTGAGGGATATTAAACTTCGTTTCATATTCCAACATATTATTGGTAGCATCAGGACATTTTGAAAGGGATTCAATAACGAAGGAATATTCGATAGAAGTTTTAACTTGAATTAGAGAAATTAATTGGTTTGAAAAGAAAGATTTGCAGGTTACCGAAGTGGACAGAATAGATGAGCAGTACGCTGAAATGGAACAGTATTTAGACAGGTAAAAGTGCTAGATATGGTCGAATGTGTTGAATCTTAACGGCTGGTTCTATCAGTTTTTGCAAGTTGTAATTTTTTCTTATTAATTATAGGCTCTTTATTGTAGCTGTGACACGAATGATACTTCTCTGGATATTTCGGAACAGCCGTACCTGATACCTGATACGGAAGTTGTGTTTTCTTCAACGAAAGAGATTAAAGGAGAAATAATTACTCTCGAAGAAGCAGGTGGGAGATTTCTTTCCCATGGAGTGGGTTCCTATGGGAATTTTCTGCCAACTTCTAAGTTCGAAAAAGAAACGGATCGGAGAATAAGATGCTGTCGTTGAAAGGATCATCAAAATTACACTAGCAGTTGATGTAGCCCCATCTACCAGCGGTGACGAGCAATTAGTCGATTGTACAGAAGATTCAGACTTAGGTGATGCACAAAAAAATGCTAGTTTATGTATTAACACAGTACGACATCGATTGAATGTTCATCATTATCTTGTTGTACACAATTGTTTATCATAACAGAAGATGCTAAAGCGAGTCAGTTTTTTAAATCTTACTTCCCAATATCACCCTTTCAAAAGAAATTGGCCTTGTTTAGTGTTTTGTAAACTACTTAGTGCAATTTCGGATTTAGTTGTATAGAAATCAAAAGTTACCTGTATTATAATTTCAGCCGTTAGTGCAGTCAAGAAATCAGACGAAAATAGAGAAGAATTTCAAGGAAATGATAATGAGGAAAAACAGCAATCGGAATTGGTAGAAGATGATAGTGATAATTCGATAAGCGAATGTGAGATATCAGTGCCGGTCGTTGATGAGGCTCAAGCTGTCTCTGTAGTCTCGAGTACGCATGACATATCGCATGATCTCGGAATAAAATATTTGACTGAAAGCGAGCGTCAACTTGGAAAGGCATGTAAATTTTTCCAAACTCTTGATTTTTTTAAAATTGGGATAGAGACGTTACTAAGTAAAATTCTAGGCATTCCTTGCAGTGCTTTTTTGCATAATCTATGAATCTTTAATCGTGACAATTTTGCAGATTTTTCACATATAATATTAAGGTAGAAAGTTATGTGTAGGTCTTAATCATTAATAGTTAATAAAATGTTAAATTTAAAGAGAATCGCGTTTTTCAGAAGAAACCAACATGGATAGCCGATAAGGAAATGTTGTCGTGCATGTTATGCTGCAATAAATTTACAGTTTTCATTAGACGACATCACTGTAGATGTTGTGGTCGTGTGTTATGTGCTCGTTGTACCACTCGGAAGGTTGCGCATGTTTATTAAGTTGTCAACGCTCATCTTAACTTCAATAATCGTGAATTAACGTACAAAATTTGTTAATAGAGACTTCTTTACTGTGTATTATTTTTAGTAGGTAAGATTATCCAGTGTTCGGATATTATGACAGCCACTGGTGTATAAAATAGGGTTTCGAGTTGAACTGTATTCAACCATTTCATTTGAATTGCTGATTATCAAGGTTATTAATAACCGATTACTAAATTTATTTTGCTTCTTTATTGCATGATCCAATCCTTATTTTGGTGCATTTGATTTTAAGCAAGGAAAAGTTATCATTTCATAAGATATAAATTTTAGGCATCGTTGTCGTATGTCAATAATCCAAAAAAGGAACACCGGGTTTGTGATCCATGTTTCGAAACATTAAAACGCATCGAGGAGTCTGAAAAGGACATAAAAACACGGTTGGTTTTCTCGGTAAAAAAAATGGAAGATTGTGTACTATCTTCATGCTCACTCTCATGTTTCTTTTCGAAATCGTCTTGGGCATCCTTAAATTTGTGATTATTTGCTCTGGAACTTAAAAAAAAAAAACGGATTTACCAATATAAAGTCTGTATCATATCATTACAGTGAGTCAACAGATACGAATGAAAATGGTCATTCATCAGATATAAGTCCGGCTACAAAACCAGTGTTGAAATCAAGAGGGAAACCAGAAAATGCTATCAGTACTACCGATGATCAAGGCTCATCATCTAATGACGCAGCACATAGTGGTTCTTCAGTAAAGCGAAGCGTTACATTTCGCGATGGTCTTCATCCTGGTTACGGTTCCAATGACACTCAAACATCAATTACTGATATGGGTTCTTCGAAGCCAAAGAAGGTGTTTCTAAGTTAATTTTTCGAAATTTAGGCGTGACAGATGTTGATTCTTATTTGAAATAGACTGTTGTAAACTTATGAGTTCTGTGGAATATTTTAATATATTTCACTCTTCTTCCAGTTACTTACATATAATTTATATAGCATGACTCGAAAAGACATCATGTATCACGGCGCCTGCAACAGCTTCATGTCACTGAGGAATGTGTATGCCTTCTGCCTGGTGGTTGCTTGGCTTCTTCCGATGCAGAGAAAACATCAGCTGTCGATAATCGACATAGTAAAATCGAAAAGAGTTGTTTATATCTGCGAAGTAATGATGGTACCATAAAGGGATGTGATAATATTCAGGAACAAATTACTTCGTTGAAAAATTTTGAAGCTCTTGAAATGATGATTTTCCGAAATTTGTGGTGTAGCATCAAGTTATGTAAATGTGAGTCTTTTTTTGTCAATTTTTATCTGTTGTTCAGTTTATCTTTCGCTGTCCAAAAAAAAGATTTCTTTATCTTTTGTTGCCCAAAGAAAATATTTTTCTCATATTTTTTGTTTGCGCAGTCCTTCAGATTTTCGGTTAGTTTGAAACATTTACTCAGGCTTCAAATTTTAACAAGAGCTTAGGAGCCACTAGAACAGTTTGCTTTATCCGTCTACTCTGTATCACACATTTTTTGGAAAATTAAATGAGGCAAAAATTACAGATGAAAACAAGACTGTGATGTGTATTATATCGAGAGGAATGTCATTTGTTGGGTTGGATGAAATCTTTCTTGCTTATTACTGTGATACGGAGCTCATCGAATTACCAGTCGATTATCTGTGGAGGGTAATGTTTTTTATGCGTTGATAATTGATGTATAATGCTACTGTTGTGAGATATTTATGAATAGAAAGTTATCAGGAAGAGGGAGAGTGTAGTGACTGAGAATGATGAATGATATTTCGACAATTGACTGATTAATTTTTTTATAGATTTACGAAATTTATCAGGATGCACTCACTCCCCGTAATGAGTCATCAGATGAAGAATTGGGAATACGATTGGCGCACAACCGTGTTCCAACACTGAATCGGACAGTTCGGTTTTCAAATGTCGAGAAGCCGGTAGCACGAGACATACTTCTGTTTAGACCATCTGTTCAGGTTGTATGATGCTAGAAATTCTGTTTTTTACTGATTTTGACTTTGCTGTTAGACAACTTGATATCGATTCATGCTATTTTTACTAAATTTTTAGTTTTTTGGTGATTTTAGTGATTTTAGTTATATGAAGAAAAAAAATGCTACTGTTAACTTGCACCACAATTTGAATTGTGGAGTAGTCGGCGTTTAAAAATATTTAAATTAGCAAAGCGACTGCGAATTTCAAGACAAATTATTTTAGTCATTTAAAAATCTCTTGGTACCTTCCTCGTCATTTTTGGTTGCAACATTCATTTATCAGTCCGAATCGATTTGGGCAAATGTGATACCACAACGACTTCTCTTTAGAATTGGTCTTCAAGCTTCATGTACGTCATTATCAGTGCCTTAGAACTCACCGGTTTCATTTGGTTACTTTACATTGTACTTCGGAATAGCTGTGTATGAGCCTCTTGACGATTCGTTATAACTGATTAGGCCGTAAGTATTTCCGATTGCTTTATTTTCAGTCTTTCTTTTTAGCTTCGTGAAGCTTAGTAAAATATTTCTCCTAATTCTTTTACTTATTTACTATTACTCACATAGTGCCGTTAGTGAGGTCGGATTTTGCCGAAAGCCGTTTTGTCTTAGTTTCTGTAACTCAATAGTTAGAACATTTGCGAACAACTATTAAGTCATCGCTATGTTCAGCATGAAAATGAGAATTTTACTGGTATGTATTTTTTATCGTTGTTTCAGTTTATCCTACATCAATCATAAATGATTTCAATCGAGAACCGGTGTATAATTCAATATTTGATGCAACCGTCTTGAAAATGTTCAATGATTTTCGGAATTGGCGTTTCCAAATGCCTCTTATACCTGGTAGCACGTTAACGGTACATGATAACAGCGAATCTACCCTAATTATCCCAACTTGGGCGTTGGAAGAGGCTTGGTTTATTTATTATTCTGCTTTTTTTGCTTATTACTATGCTTTTTTTAAAATATTCTACATACAAAACAGAACTTTTCATTTTACATTTTATGAAATTAAGTAAATACATTATGTGGTTGACTGCGTCATGTTGTTTAGCTCATTTTTGCTAGATATGAGTCTAAGAAGTTCTTGATCTAAGGGAGTACCGCTAATTAGAAGTTTTATATTTGCAAAAAGTATTAACATAGCGAGCGTTTTGTACTTATTGGGGAACACCCTGAATGATTTTTGTATTTTAAAAGAGATTAGCAAAGCATTCAGTTAATTCATGAGGTTTCTGTCTGGCTGGACTTTTACATTGACGTAGATGTTAACTAATTAGAGAATTTGATCTACGAAAGTAATAAGTTTGTTTAATATACGAATATACTGAACACATATAGTATGATCTATCAAGCGAAGTATCGAAAATTTTTATAGAATTGATTAATTATTAAGTAATTTTCAGATCATTAAATTAATCAAAGCAAATAAAAATATGGTTGCGTGGGGTCTCGATTTTAGTCCTGATGCTGATAGCTATCTTGTCTGCAAGCAGGATAATGCTGGTTGTTTCAGCTCACAAATTCTCACAAATGGCATCGAAAATCGAAAAGGTATTTTTCAATTGTTTCTTTTTTCCTCCAGTTTACAAAATAATAACTCACGTTGCAGTAACTGGCGCTTCTTTTATTGTTATTGATGGAGCTTTGAAAGATAGCGAAGAGCCATTTTCCATGAATGTTTTGGAAGTAAGTTCATTTGCGTAATTCGTTTTCTTATTTGGAGATACATAAAGTTGATGTAAACCACTGTTTATTCTTAATATTTTCTTTTTGTCGACTAAATAATGTGGCTCAACAAAAAATACAAAGTTAACAATAAACAGTAGTTCACATGATTTAAATTAAGACATAAAGAACTTTTTTTATTATTCAGTTTAAGTCTTGTTAGGTTCTTACCTCCATCCGTTCGGCTTGGAACAGAGAATTATACGTGTAATTTCCTTTAAAATAATTTTTTTTGAGGACGGCATGACAATTCGTTTTCGATCAGATGTAATGGAATCACTTATTGAAGCACTTTCGATTGGACAGGATTTCGAACACAATTCATCGGCAATGAAATTTTCAGTTAAATGGGATGATGATCCATATACACAGCAGCTTATTGGTGGATTGGTATCACCAATTGATAATCGTTCATTAATCGTTTGTTGTTCTGATTTATTCGACACATTATTTGCGTTTATCTTTTATTACTGCGGGTTTTAATAGTAACATTAACACTACCAAAACAGTCTATATAGTGAGTGCAGTAAATGGCATATTTTATCGGTGAGCGCTTCTATTAGAATATCTATGTGTTCATAATCATATCGTTACTAAAAACTTGTTGCGTTATATCTCCTGATAAGATTTTCTGAGCTACTTCACACTTCCAAGTTGGTCATTACAGGGTTGTTGCCAATACGGCTTGAAAAAATCAAGAATTTTGGGGTCGTCATATCTAATACCGGATCAAGCGTATTGGTCCCTTAGACTGGTCAGTGTGTACAATGTTGGGAAAGGCCGATTCGTCCAGCGTGTTCAGTCAAAAGTTTTCAGTGTCAGTGAACAAGTCACTGCGCAAATTGCAACAACACTAGTACCTTTCACCGCTGCTCTCATAGAACATGATTTGAGGTTTGTCTTGTCCTTCTTTTAATTCTTTTTCAATTCGTATAAAAATTAAAAAAACTCAACGAGACATGTGAACTACTTTTCACCAACTTCCAAAAATTAGGTTTAGACATTTCGCTCCGACAAGGATATAATAAAATGAATCTAGGATCGCAATGCAAAGATTAGTGAAATAGTCTGTTAGTTCAGTAAGCTTTTTCAAGGAACCTGTGGAAAATTACCCTTCATTACAGGTAGGCTAGGAGATATGGTCCACTGAATGACCGGAGCTATTCTGATTATACGATTGATGGGTTGAATTATGTAAAGTATGTTGAATCCAGATATATCTTTTAGGCATATTTTCTTTCGTATTCGCGTTACTGCAGAAGATGCTGAATATAAGACACAGCCTTGGCCTGGTATGGAAAAGGAGTTTGCTGCATGGTTGGATTTTCTGGACTACCAGGTTTGCGTTAATAACTGTTATTAGCAAATTGATATTTCCATTATTACAAAACCTTTTCTAATACATGGCTAATGATCAGGCGATGGATTTAATTTTGTAATGTCTTTATATCCTAATATGTGAATATTTTTAAAGCTCAGAGTGCACTTTCTAAAAGATATATTAATATTCATTTCCTTCATTTGTCTTAACTATATACTTATTTGCAGATAGTACCAGGCCTATTTACTGTTTGCTCATACGTAACAGTCGGATTTCATGCTGAACTTCATATGGCTTTGATTTCAATCCGACCAAACCCGTGATATTTTACTTTTTCTCAAGTTTCGTTTGTGATACTACTCGATAGGCAACTATAGCGCGAATGTTGGTGTTATATTATGCCGATGATGAATATCGATATCGGTGTCAGTAAAATATCTAATGCGCTTTAAAATTGACTAAATTGCTAACATAATTTTGAAATTAATTAATTCCAGTTCTAGATTCCAATTCTGATTTACGTTCTGTTTCAAAATTTTCTTGTTTGTTAACTTGTTTATTTTTCTCCTAATATATACAGAATGATGATTAATTGAGAAAGGAATATGCTGTTAACTGTATACTTTTATAGATTCCTTGTTCGCTGTCAAATTTAATCATCTTTTTAATAGATATATAGTGCTTATTTTCTGTACAAAACAAATTGTTCGCTTCATTTTGAATATTACGATAGGAATATATAATATATTTTCCTACAAAATGCAAGATATTGCCCAGTGAGAGTGCATTCCATTTATAATTTTTTGTATTATCGAAATATTAAGGATACTGATTGGTTTTTCCGAAATAAAAACTTAGTAATCTAATATTTTTTTTTGTTAATGACATTAAACTTTCTGCAACAAGAAATTCCTAATAAGTTGTCTGAAAAAGGCAAATAAATATAAGTGTTATATTCTTGCATTCTGCAATGACTGGAAGTAGCATGGATACATTGAATCCGATAGTTTTGGGACTGGTTTTTTTCTACAAATTATACCGGATTATTGTTTTTTTCTTATCGAATCACAGCTGCCTGGCTTGAATCAATCAAAATAGATCACATCACCGCTTATGCTTGAACATTTCGTTTGAACATTCCACCTGCTCACTAGGTGGATAATCGTAATTATTATTCATTTCGTTACATTTCCACATATGACCCCAGTGGGCAAATATCAAACGACATGGAAGTTGTTCGGGCATCACCGAATGATGCGTTACAAGCATAGGTATTGATGGAAAATACTTGTTGGAACCCTGTAAATTTGAAATTTAAAGAAAGTTCAACTGATGCATTTTGAAGACTCTCATTAAGCTATTTGAATTTTTCACAATACTAATAATATCTTCTTTGATATATCAAAAATAAAAATGAATACTTTTAATTTAAATCCATTATCATTCCGGATGATCAGATAATGTGATACGCCAGTTGGATTATTCTTAAATGGTACTCGAACGCTTAATGCTAGACATTTTCGTTTAGATTCAGAAAAACGAACAACAAATGCTCCTTCAGGTTGCTCCAATAATGCATCTATAATTCGATTCCTGTAATAATTAAAAATGGAATCACTACCAATGAATGATTGGAGAAATAATTCACACAAAAGTATAAAATGCATATGATGATGATGGCAGATGTTTAGCGATTATAAGCATCAATTATTAATTATTATGTCTCAATCAAATCACTAAATAAATTAATTAAACTGATTATTAATTATATATATATATATATCGATTACAAATAATTGATTCATCTAATTCATTTCATTTTTGATTATTTAATCAATCAACTTACTAAACTTATAATTACTAAATTCAGTTTAATGATTTAATTAATTATTGCCATTTGCTAATGAATATAAACTAGAAATTATGAAGGTTTAAGCAAGTAATTTGCATAAACTATAAAATCTCATTAATTGCTCAGATTCACGATTATTATATTGCATTCATTGTTGCATCATAACATTAATGGTCACAACTTCTCACTAACCGATGTACTGTTTTGCAGAAATATGCAACCTGCTCCAATTGTTTTTCCAATATTTCATCAATGGGATAAATCCATTCTGTCCTACAAATATTTTCAACTTTTATTTCTCTTTGAAGAATAAATTGAAAATAGAATTTTAAAAAGTAATTATTTAATTATAACATTTTAAAATTAAAATATTACATTTTGCTTATTTGTAGAAATTTTCGTATTTGTTTTTTAACAAAAAAAAGAAAACAATTAATGAAATAATTTGTTAAATAATGAAAAAAAATTATTGATCGATGATTGGAAGAAATTTTGAAGCGAATTTTTAAATTTCTAAAAACAAAACAGACTGATTGAATAATTAAAGATAAAGTTAATTGAAGATAAAGATAAACAAAACAGACTGAATAATTAAAGATAAAGTTAATTGAAGATAAAGATAAACAAAACAGACCGAATAATTAAAGATAAAGTTAATTAATGATAAGGATAAAGATAAACATAAACTTTTAAGGATATAGAATGAAGTTATAATTTCTTTTTTTTTAAGCTTCCACAAATTTCCGCTAATAAAATTCAGCGTTACCTTATTTTTTCTCTTTTGTTTTTAATCAAATAATTTAATTAATTATAGCCTACAAATTCCCACTAATGAAATTCAGCGTTACCTTATATTTTCTCTATTGTTTTCAATCAAATAATCCAATTAATTAATAGCAATTTAATTTTTAGAAATTACAATCATTTCAGATTTTTAATTTTACTTCCAACTATACTTCGTTCGAAAATTTTGACCTTCAAAAAATTTTTTTCAATTTAATTAATTTCTCGATTTTAATGTTTTAAACTTACAAACGTTCATCGTAGCATAATGATAGGGTTGTTTGAGTGTGACGAATTGGACGAACTATTTCTTCTTGTGTATACTGGAATTGTGAAATTTAAAAGAGAGAATTTTAAATTCGAAAGAAAAATTAGGAAAGGAAAAATGACAAGAGAAATTTGAAATTTCCTTTTCAAAATATAAATAAAATTTGATTACTTTTTTTTTTTGCTCCTTGATTTAAACTAATTAATTTTAATTAAAAATAAAAAACAAAAGAGATTTGAATAAAAAAATTTTGCAATATAATATTATTATGTGAATTTTTTTTAATTTTTAATTGGGAAGAAGCAAATCAAATGTTTAATTGTATTTAGTATAATTACTATGTAAACCTGTGGTGTTGAAATGTGTTGTAAGTTGACAGAATGACGATTATGTGATTTTGTCGTAGGAGGTGTTGAAGATGATGGTTGACAAATTGATATAGGCCTTTCAAACTTTCGTGGTGTATCAGTTGATGAAAACTAAAAATTAATTTAAATATATTCAATACATTCCTACATAATTGTATTGGTTTCTTTTCTTTTGAAAATTGAAAAATGAAAAAATTAAAATTAAAAATTGAAAATTTCGACGCGATCGATTATGCAAATAAATATTATGTCGTAGAGCAAATGATGCAATTTATTTGTTTTATAATTAATTACAGCAATTATTATTATGTCAGCTAAGAGCTAAAAAAAAAGATCATGTTTACAGAAGTGATCATATTTATAAAAGTTATCGAGTGATGTAAACTACATGAGACAATTAATAATTGATTGATAACTGATAATTATGGTTCAATTGATTAGCTAATTAATAATGATGATAATTATGATTCGATGAAAAACATAAGTTTCGTGAATCAAACCCAATTTGCTTAAAATTAAATATTTTAAAATAAAATTTGAAAAATTCTTAATCTTATTATTATCAATTATAAACGTTCTATATTAAATAGCATAATTTAAAATGTCTGAGATCTAAATTTGTTTTTTACATTCTAAATTAATTGCTTACTTAAAGACAATTTGATGATAAAAGAAATGATAAAAAAAAAACAAAAACTGATAAAACTGATAATAAAAAGTAATTCTAATAAATATGATTAAAGCAATAATTTGAATAATTATAAAAATTTCGATGGAATTTTAAATTTAAATAATAACTTTGTTTGAATCCAATTCATTATCTCTTTCATTTTATTTATTATACTACAAAATAAAATCTCTTCAATTACACTATAAATTAAATTCTATTCAATTTCTACAAATTGGAAAAAAGTTTTATTAGATAAAAAGTTTCATTTGTAAAAATAATTAAATTAAATTAATTAATTCTGTCAAGTAGTAAAATATAACTATACAGAAGGATAAAGTACACACTCTAATACTTTTAGTACCATCTGTTATCACAATTAGCGCACAAATCAAAGAAAATGATATTTGCTATTTTTGTTATCAAGATCAGTTGTAAAATAATGTGAAACAGTATTTGTATGAAATTTTAAATTATCTACAAAATTTGTTAAATTTTAAAATGGGTCAAGATAAACGATGAAATAAAAAGTTTGTAAAAATAATTTGATAATCATCATAATGAGCATCATAACTGGCAAATATATTATAATTATGATTATATAATGAGTAATATATATTGCTTAGATTGGATAATGAAGATCAGTTGTTGAAATTTTATACCATTATAACTTATAAAATATGAAATTATCAATGCAACTGAACTAATCATATTTGTCCTCAGATATTTATGAAAATCTTTCAGTTTATATGATTGCATACTTTTGAAATCCTGTCATTCAGATTCTTATTAAAGACTTATGAAATAAGTTATCATATCATGTTCGTATCACTTGTGCGATACAAAAATAGAATTATTCTCAGTTGTTATCCGATTAGTAAATTATTCCATTTTTGTTCATTCAACAAATTACTTCATTATTATACGATTATGTTACAGCACTGATATTCGAATCACTAAATTATTTCATCGTTATTCGATTAATAAATTATACCATCATTATTCGATTAGTGTCATGCTACTGTTATTCGAATCACTAAGTTATTTCATCGTTATTCGATTAATAAAATTACTGCACCGTTATTCAATCAGTAAATTATAAATTATTTCATCGCTGTTCGTTTAATCAATTACTCCATCATTATGCGATTAGTGCTAGACCATTGTTATTCGAACCATAAAATTATTTCATTGTTATTCGATTATTAAACTACTCCATCGTTATTCGATCAGTAAATTATTCCACCTTTATTCGACTAATAAATTACTCCATCATTATTCGATCAATAGTTCCTCAGTTGTTCCTTAGCCTATCTCGTTTGCTTTCAGGTATTTATAAAGTTCCAACTTACATGATTAGATCTTATAACTCAATATTTCGTAATCTTAGATAATTCCTCACCAGTTTAGATATATTTTATTTGATATATGATAATGCTAATGAGCTTTTTCATTTATAAATTACAATAATATTTGAGATAGTTCAAGTTTTTTTGAGATTGCTACTATCATCATAATTACTACTAAAATTCTAATGTTGCTTATTACTATTGTTTTAATTCCAGCATTACTGTAAATAATGCTATCATTGTTATCAACATAACTTTCAGTCTTGCTATAGCTATTATAATAATAATAATTAATAGTACCCAATCATTATGTTTTGTTTTTTAAAATTAAAAATTTCTAATCAAACACCTGATATTTAATTACAATGTTTAATGACAATGCTATTGTTTCTTATTTCCATTTATCAATTCTGATTTCCAAAAACTAATTTTTTCCTTGAAACAAATTAAAAAATTTGATATACCCTTTTGTTGTAAATGGAAGCAGATGAAAGTCGATGTAAAGCTTGGCTGAATACAGCGCTAACTGGTCGCCGACGTTGTTTATTAGGTGCAGATGGAGTTGCTGTTGTGGTATTTTCCTTGTTGTTCAAATCTATATCAGCCCGAGATTTACCAAAAATTCGATTTAGAAGCACCGAAGAAGTTATGTGCAATTTACATTGCTCAATCCCAGATGGAAGATTGGATACTGATGATGGAGTATTTGTTGGAATAGCAGCGTTACGATGTTGTGGATGAATGGCGATCGGTGTTGAGAAACGTGAAGTTAATTTTGGAGGATTTGTGATAGGTGGTGATGGTTTAATCAAAGCTGCTGCTTGAAAGGCATTCTCTAACACCGATTTTATTTCTTCCACCTGAAAATATTACACTTTTTTAAAATTCCATAATATACTTTATCGTATAAACTAATAACAAAGAAAAATACATTTGATAAAATTAACATAAATTAGCCTATTTAATACAAACATTTAAAAAGAATGCTTAATTAGTACCATTTCTTTATATCCTAAATTTAAAAATAAAATGAATTACTAATGAAAATTTGAAAAGAAACATATTTGAACCTATTCTTTACTTATATAAGCTTTATTTTCATCCATTTCATTTTATTTCGATTACTTTAAATATAAGAAGAAAATTTTTCGGAATAAATTGAAACATGATGATAACAAGAATCGATTATATGATGATAATAAGATATGATGATATCTTAGATGCTAATAAGGATCGAAAATATAATGATAATAAGATATGATAATGTCTTAAACATGATGATAATAAGAATCGAAAATATGAGGATAATAAGGAACGATTATATGATGATATCTTGAATATGATGATAATAAGAATCGAAAGTATGATGATGATAATAAGAATCGAAAATATGGTGATGATAATAAGAGTCGAAAATATGACGATAATAAGGAACGATTATATGATGATAAAAAGATATGATGATATCTTGAATATGATGATAATAAGAATCGAAAACATGATGATAATAAGAATCGATTGAATATTTGTTTAGCTAATATCAAATCCATTTAATAATCGATTATTCGAAAGTTCAATAAGTATGCATAATTTTAAAATTTAAATATACTAAAAGAGAAAATGCAAGAGTGGAGAAAAAGAGGAAGAAGACAGCGTAAACAAGCAAATAGGACGAAATGAATGAATTGGTGAAGTGAATTTTCTTCAGAAGCTGACACAAAATGACAATCGAAAATAATTGAACGTTTATGTAAACAATTGTTTAGAAATACAAACTTCCTCTGTTCACTCTTTTCAAAAACAAAAAAACTCTTTGTTTTTAAATTTAAATAATTTTGTCAACAATATTAAAACAATAGAATTTTTCATATGAAATAAAACGATAACTATTTTTAAATGATAATAATACAAACGAATATTATGTTTGTCAAAAAAAGTTCTTATCCGATGAACTTTATAACCTTTTTTTGTTTGTAGATTTGAGGGAAAAAATAATTAGTATCAATTAATCAATTTGTAATATAATAAATTGTAGTAAAATTTTAGCCTATTTCTTGCTTTAATAATAATAATTAACAATTCGAAATTCTGACTGACAAAATATATGCATATGTGATAATTAATAAATATATGCAAAAGCAAATAAATTATAAATACTGAAAATGAATTATTAATGATTTTAATATCTAGACATTATTGGCTCATTTCATTCATTCATTCCATTTTTATAATTGAATGATAATAATAGATGGTTAAATTATTGCAATGGTACCTATAATATCTATGGTACCATACATACATGAAGAGATTATTTCGGTACAGTGATTAGTGTTATCGGTAAAGAATGCATATTATTATTTGTGGTAGCAGTTTCTGAACAATATTGCATAATAATTAGTATAAATTAAGAGTAAACATAAATTGAGTAAACATAAATTTTTGATAAAATTTTAATTCAAAATTTTACTTTTCTTCTTAAACTAAATAAGTCATTTAATTAATTAATATTTAATTAAGGTTACAATTTACTTTTCTCACTCGAAAGAATTTATTAAAAGCAATAAATAAAATATTCAAATTTATAAACTGGGCAAAAATATACTCATCCCAAAATTGATTAATTAATAATTAGTATATAATTCGATTTTTTTCATTTTCATTACTTTGAATTATTTTTCATTTCCACTTTCTACGAAGGAATAAATTCTTGCAACAAAATATTTTTAGTTAATTAATTAAAATTAAATATTAATTATTTTGCAAAAAAAAATTAACTCTAATTATTTTTCCTGCAAAAATTTATCATTTATCAATTATCAGTAAAAATGAAAGCTCAAAAAAAAAAATTAATGAAGAAGAAAAAAAACAAAGGTAAAAAGTTCAAACCTGATGTGATAATTTCGTCTTAAATAGATGACATAATCTTCTATACACCTGTCCGGATGGTTCACGAGCAATATATGCCACTTCATGTCGTTCCGTTCGACCAATTACACAATTCACTCGTCGAATTGATTGACAAAATAATACACGCTAAAACAAAAGCATTTTAATTATTAAAATACGGGTAATATAAATAAAAATTTAAATTTAAAATAAAATGAATACAACGATTTGTTATAATTGTGACCCCTAAGTGTATGTGTTAAAAATTAATTATAATAAATGAATTAAAAAAAATTTCCAGAAGAGAAAATATTTAAAATTTCAATTAATTAAATAAAAAAATAAAAGAAATATTCGTTTCCAAAATTATCATAATTTATCACAGTATTCGCTTCCAAAATTATCATAATTTATCATTATCATAATATTTATAATTCAATTAAAATATATAAAACGACAACAAATATTTTTAGGTTTATAAATATTTTTTGTTAAAAATATCTTTAATTAAAACATAAAGTATAATTAAATTTAACAAAGATAAGAATAAAATCTTTTATTTTAATTTATAATAGTATAAATGATTTTAAATTTATTTAATTAAAATATTCATAAACATAAAAAGTATTTATTGCCGTATTTTCCTATTATTCTAAAACAATAATTGAATTATATTGCAATTAATAAATTTTAATTTATTGCAAATTATTCATTTCGAAATTTTCAGTTTATTAATTCCAATATATTCATTTAAAATATAAAATATTTATAGGTTAGAAGAAAAAAGAAATTATTGAACAAAAATTTAAAATCGTTTATAATATCAGAAATTGAAATAGGAATGGAAAGTTTTATTGTAGCAAAAATAGAAAGCATAAAAGATCGTCAAATTATTCATAGCAAAATGCTATCGTACCGTAAAATTCGACGAGGAAAAAAAATGACGAAGAATGAAAAAAATATGCAATTCATATGCTAATTATAATATTAATAATAATAATAATAATAATAGAATGAATAATATTGGAATTGTATTGAAGTAATCGAAGGAAATGAATAAAAATTCATTTCCTTCGATTACTATCAAATATTTTCTTATACCAATCATACATTTATATTATTTATCTTTTAAATTATTTATAATTTGAAATTAAATAATTTAAATTATTTCAAATAATATTAAATTTTTGAAATACCATATTTATATTGTTTTGTTCTTTTTTTTAATATATATAATCTTTCAAAATTATTTTACACAAATAATTATTGCTTAAATTTTTTGGAATTAAAATAATTATAAAGCAAAGAATCAGTTGTCATTATTGAGAAATATTGGAAATTATTTAATATTTAAAATAAAAATTCGATTAAATTTTGAATTATTTATTTTTTATTATATTTTGAAATTTTTGTATAATATAAAATAAAAAAATGAAAAATCATTTAATCAATTTTTTGCCAAATTTTGAAATTTTTTGTATAACATAAAATAAAAAAATGTAAATTCATTTGATCAATTTTAATTATTTAACTATTTATTTTCCATTATATTTTAAAAATTTCCGTAAAATAAAATTAACAAAAAAATGAAAGTTCATCTAAAACAAATAAAAAAACGATTCATTAAAATAAATTTAATACAATTTTATTTAATATTCAATTTCAAATTTCTTATCTAAAATTGCAGGAAAAGAAGAAGAAAGATTACAACACATATTATAAAGTAGCATTAATTGTCTCATTTTGTCCTTCAAAATTTGTGATAAAAAAAAAAAAGAGAAATTGGTTAATTGATGCTGACAGCTTCTTTTTATAGTCAATAATATAGCCAACATATTGATGTATTATTGTCGGCTGTTACAACGGAAGCTTTTTTTTTTCGAATTTTCAACGAAGTTTAAATTGTAGACGAAAGGGTAACGAACATCAAAAGAACCGCTATTGAGTATCATTTTATTTTTTCAATCTTTCCTTCTCCTTATATTCCTCTCTCTCTCTCTCTCTCTTTCTCTCTCTCTCTTCTTTTCTCTGATGCATTAAAGTAGTGTTTCCAACATTTGGAAATTATTGTTTTAACAGTTGCAAATTAAAATTATTAACTATTGCTAATATTAGAATTTTAAGATTTATGTGTAAAATTTTGCAAAACAATTTTTGCTAATTTTCATTTAACCATTTGAATAATATTGAAGAGAAGAATTTAAATTAATTCAATTAAAATTCTTACCTGAAGTTTAGTTAATTTTGATTAATGAAATTAATTAAAAATTAAAATTTTATCGCAAATTTACTACAATGTAATAAATTAAATGAAGGAAGTTGATCAGAATTAATCAGAATTGAAAGAATTAAATTTAACTTCAAGAGGAAGTAATAGTATTTGTTTTTGTTGTGATTCATATCGTTATTTAATGCTATTCACTGCTTAAGAATTCTTAAGAAATTTTCATTATCAGGATGTTTGCTATATATTTGTAAATTCCTAAAATTGCCTTTCTTAAGAAAATTTCATTATTAGGATGTTTGCCATATATTTATAAATTCCTAAAATTCCTGTTAACTTTAAATTTATCACGAAGATTTGAAATTTGTTAAATTCTACAATTTGATTATGAAAATATTTACGAAATCGGAATGAAAAGAGAATATATTAAAAATTGTAGATGAGAGTGTTAAATTTAATTTCTGAAGTTAAAGTTAGCAAAATTATTACTTCATTAACTTCAACTTCAGATGATGATGATGATGATGATTAATGATAGAATTTATTTTTCGAAATGAACATAATTTATTTAATAACAAATGGCTGATTAAATAATCTAAATAATTTTAATTCATTAAAATACATTTCAGAAGTGTAATGAAAGATACGCATATTTGACATAAAATTTTAATTACTATAAAAACTTTTTTTTAATTATATACTATAATTACTACAAATTTAAATTACTATTCCACTTTAGGCTTTAATTAATTATTACTTATATAGTATCGTAACATATATAATTGTAACCATAACATATATATATATATATATATATGTGACTGTAACTTTTATTAACGTAATATGTGAAAAGTATGAGATAATATCTTTTATATCCTTATAAAAGAGAGATATTATGAAAGATAGTCTTCTGACGATTGTATATCTGACCTCAGGATGAATCGGTTAATTGACATTAGAATGCTTACTTATTTGACCTTAAGATATCTATTATAATATATCTATCATTTATTATTTACAATATGCTTATCATTTATTTATTGGAAATATTTTTCCTAATATTTGTTCATTGTTTGTTATTTATTATTTATAGTATACTTATTATTTATTGAAATAATTTTTATTCTTATTTATTTGTTAATTATTTATTATTTGCTATTTATTATTTATAGTACACTTATTATTTACTGAAATATTTTTAACTCTTATTATTTGTTTATTTTTTATTATTTGTTATTTATTATTTACAATATACTTATTATTTATTATTTACAATATAAATTATCGAATTCGTTCATTCTCATATTTGAAAAAATGACAAAAAGAAATGCTATCTAAAATGCTCACATTTGCATAATCCATTAAATTAACAAATGATAATGGAAATGTCGGCAAATGATATTTTTAATTTTTTCCAAATATTTCCAACTTCAAAAATGAATAGTAAAAATGAATAATATTTCCTTTATTTTACCGATTTCACTTTATCTGATATCTTTTATCAGTTAATCACTTCTTTTATTATTTCTTCCCTTTTTTTATCTTCAAATTTTAGGAACGAAAAAATAGAAATAGTCCTTCAACATGTTTTAATTTATGAACTATAAAATAAAAAAACGAGAACAAGAAAGAATTATGACAAAAAAAAACGATGGAATTTACAGCATTTTTCCCTTTTCTCTTTTCGAATTTTTTATTTTAGAGTATAAAAACGAAGAAAAAGGAACGAAAAATATTTCAAGGAAAAGTGAAGGTAAATTTTTTGGCGCAAAATAATTCCGGTTCTCCGTTTTTTTCTGTTCGTTACACCTAAAATTGCTCAAAAATTAAAGAAGAAAAAAAATTTATTTTCAATAGGAAGAAATATGAAATAAAATAAAAGAAAGAATAATTAATTGCTAACTTATTTAATTTATCTAATATTGATTATTTTTCAAATTTCTTTTCTTCATATTTTGCGGAAAGAAATGGAAATGGAAATTTTGAAACTGCAATAATTACTTCTATTATTAAAACAATTGCTTTGTAAGCTAACGAACAAAATTTATGCAAAGAATTGTTTATTTCGAATTTCAGATATACTCTCAAAAATGATGCATGTTCTCGGTTAAGTAATTTTAAATGAATTCTAATTCGAGATATCATTGATTTCAGGTGTATTGATTTTAGGTGTTTAGGTGTAATGAAATATTAAAAAAAGAAAGAAATTATCAATGTTATTAATTTGTTGAATAAAATTTTATACTGATAAAACGAAGTGATAACAATTTTCAAGTTCATCTTTTATCACATCAATCAAATTCTTAACGAATTTTGATGAATTAAATTGATTAAAGTATCTATTTAATCTTGATTGCAATGCCCTTAAACTTATTGTATTATTTATATTTGAAATATTGTATTTTAACAATTGTAGATATGTGATAAACTATAATACAATTGATTAATGGTTGAGATATTGCAATTAGGTATATGATATGATGATTCTATGTTCACCTTTATAATAATAAAAAAAAATGACCAAATGACCATACCCTCTCTTTTTCTATTCTTCTATACCATTTTGATTCGATCAAAGATACGTATATGCCAAATGGCGTAATAAGCCCTAAATAATTGCTGTATCTTATACAACACAAAGGTTCTTCCGCTATCTTTTATATCCTCTTTTGAAAGTTATAATATCCTGCTGTTACCATTAACAACAACACTTTCACAATTGTTTTTCCTGTTTTCCTGAGATATTTAATGGAGGAAATCCGGAATGAAGTTTGAATATTGAATTGATAATTGATAATAGAAATATTATGAAATTTTTTGAAATAAAAAGAAAAGTAAAAATAATAATTTATCGGATATTTTTATATTATACTTAATAGTATAATAAGTTAGCATTATTATATTTTATATTATACTTAAAATTATATTTATATTATACTTTTATTATATTATACATTTTCAAAAGATAAATTTTTCAAACAAAAATATTATATTATACTTTAATTATACATAGATTATATTATATTATAATTTTTTATATTATACTTAAATTATACCTATACTATATTATACTTTTATTTTATTATACATTTTTATATTACACTTATATTATACTATATTATACTTTGTTATATTATACTTAAATTATACTTAAAATTATACTTTTTATATCTGTTATACTTGAGAAGAGAAAAAATTTAATTTCCTTCAATTTAATTTAGGATTAGAATAAATTTGATATGGATTAAATACAAAATGATAATTAAATTTTGAAACAATAATTTTAAACAATCCTAATTAATGTTTATAAGTTATGGAAATATTTTAACAATCCGTTTCAAAATTATTAAAGTTTTTTTTTTCAAATTTCTGTTTATCAAACAGAAAAATCAAAACAACGAATAAAAAATTTTCGATAGAATTTTAACTAAGATTCTACTGACAATTCGAGATTTCTTGTAAAGTTTAGGGAGAAATTGATAAAATTATTAAAAATTTAAATCTCTAAAATATCATTCGAAATCATTCAATTTACTTTGTGCAAACTTTTTCTCTTAAAATGGTAGATTGCATAGATACTACTAATGACAGTTAATTAAAACATTCAATTTGGGAAATGAAGACGAGAACTTTTTAGGATATTTTAGGGTAGGAAAATGAAGAAGGGAACCTTTTAGGATATTTTAGTGTAGGAAAATGAAGAAGGGAACTTTTTAGGATATTTTAGGGTAGGGAAATGAAGAACAGAATTTCTTAGGATATTTTAAAGTAGGAAAATGAAGAAGAGAACCTTCTAGGATATTTAAGGGTAGGGAAATAAAGAAGGGAACTTTTTAGGATATTTTAGGGTAAGGAAATGAAGAAGAGAATTTTTAAGGATATTTTAGAGTATATAAAGTATGAAATAATTATGATGATAATGATACAGATTTTCAATAAGTTTTTAAATTTTCCTAAAAATTTTAAAATTTAAACTTTTAAATTTTCAAATATACATTTCAACATTCCAAGGACATTGAATAAAGTTTAAAAAAATATGAAGAAGTGCGTGCTGTAGCATTTTTAAATTCAACGATGAAAACGATAAATGAATGATTTAAACTTTGGAAAAATGAGAGATTGAAAAATTTGATGAAATAGAAATTAATTAATTAATTGCCAATTGCCAATAATTATCTTTGCTTCATTCTCTCTCTTTCCTCCTCCTCAATTATTTTTACATATTTTTACTTTAAAATTATTTTCAATAAATAATCGTAGAAACTATCTTACCTCACCATCAATAGCACAAACTTTTACACCAGATACGGAAATTGATAATTGAACAGCAATAGCAGGTTTTCGAGGAATGAATCGATCTAATCGTTGTGATACTGATTCCGGATCGGTTCCCGGTACTGGAAATGATCCAAGCCACTGTAATAATAGTGAATGAATGAGCAAAAAGAATGGAATGCTGTATCAAATTATTCGTTGTATTCAATTAAACTATCTTTTCTTTTATGATAATTATTTTTGAAATAAAAATTTAACTATTTACTGTTGCTATGGAAATTTATTTGATATCATAAATTTTAATTCAACCATAAATGTTTGAAGTGTTTTAACACATTATCACATTTTTGCTTTTCTTTTAATCTTTGTTTGATATTCTCATTTAAGAAGCGAAAATATCCTTTGCATTTTTGTCTAATCTGATATCGCTGAGAAAATTGATAATTCAATTAGATTATATAACATATGTGTATAATGAATTTCGAAGAGCTTAAGAGAGGTCATTTATAAGGTGATAATCTTTGACCTTTTGTTATTTATGCTGTTAAAGCATATATATGTAAAATGAATCAAACCTCCACATTCCAGGAGAGTGAGAAACCGGGTCGCATATGTATCACAAATTTCGCAGAGAGAAGGACAGGCAAGAGGACAGAGACGATCGGCCGATAATGTCGAATGGATCAGATTGTTGTAGTCCGAAATAGAATATGAACAACAGGTGGGCGACAATCTTCGCAACAACTAAAATACACAATTGCGGCAGATAGTTGAAGCAGCAATAGCAGTAGCAACAGCAGCTGTAGTTGTAGCAGCTCGCAGTAAAAACGAATGATGAATGAATGAATGATGAAAACTGATCTGATCGGCATAATGTTTCACTTCTTTCAACTACTATGGAGCGAAAATTAGTCCCACCTACAACTACTGCAACTACGACTACTGCAACTACTGCAACCGAACTACTACTACTATTACTACTACTACTACTACTACTACTTACTGCTACTTACTACTACTTTAACTAGAACTATTTTACTGATCTATAATGATTACTTTAATATAAGTATTTCATTGAAACAAAAAGGAAAATTTGACCTTTTTCAAAAAGACTTTATTTTATTGCGCATGCAATATGCTACAATTGCTGAGGGAACGGATAAACAATACAGTAGCAATAATTGGGGTCATACAAAGTAATTATCGCATGTTTAGTGACACATATCATTTAACCATAATGCATTAAATAGCGAACGGTTACGATCACTTCAAAATTGTTCAAAAAAGGTCAAAATTAAATAATACTTTATATGCAAGAAGAGATGAAGGAAAAAAGAGGAAGAAAGAAGGGACCATTATTAACAAAATTCATTTTACAATTCAAATACACAATTTAAGTTATCCATTTCAATTTTTACAATTGCATTTTTGTTGTTTTCTTTTTCTTTCTATTCAATTAAATTTAATTTCCAATATCAGTTCAAATGGGAAAATGATTTGACTTTTCATTCTATATTGTAAAGTTTACTTGTAACTTAATACTTATTCATCAAAATGATGAAATGGAAAGCTTTTTGTTGTTATGAAATTGTAAAGCAGTTTTCAAGTAAACAAGTAAATAAAACAATAAATGAAATTTAATTCATTTCAATTCCTCAATTAGTAATCAAATAATAATCGATAATAATGAATATATTATTAATTTATCAATCTGTTAAATTTAAAATATCTCATGTCACATATTAGTATTATATCACATATTAATATCACATATTAGCTATATCATTTTATTTCAATTTTTCTCAATTTAAAAACTTTCAAATGCTTCGTTTACATTCTCTATTTCTTCGTCATTAAAAAATCAATTAGTGAGTAAAAAAGATTTCAAATTTAATTACTACTTAATTGTTTTCCTATAATTACATTCGTTATAATAACTTATTTCTTGTCTTATAATTTTATTTCATTTTTCTTCAAACACTTATATTCGAAATGATATAATTAAAATACTCAATTTAATAATTAAATTGTTTACACTATCCTTGAATTATGCATGAAAAAAAAATCATACTAAAAATTTATTACAACAATTTTCAACACTTTCTTTTTTCATCTTTATCTAATCAATCATTGATGAAAACGATACTGAAATGTTAAGCTATATTTATGCCACATAAAATCATTCCTTTTACATTCCATCGAATCGTATATAAATTATAAGACGATAACAATATGAGTTTAGAAGTATGGAAAGAAGAAAGAGAGAGAGAGAGAGAGAGAAGAATGAAACGGCTACAAGAATTTTTGATTAGGCTATTTTTAATAGGTAATAATTTCATGATATTAGCAAAATATATTTTTAAATGGATAAGTTATGGCTAAGAATAATTTCTTGTTTTTTAAAAGGAAATTTTTTTAATTGTAAATAAATTGTAATTAATAAATGCGACAATTTTTGAAACCTTTTTATTATCCTAAATTGAAATTATTTCATTAAATTAAAAATAAAAGATTTAAAAATACTTCTACCTAAAAATCAAACGCAAATATTATTCGTTGGTATTATTCATAAGTATTTTTATTACTATAATTTTATATCTTATTTAATTAGTATTTCGAAATTCGGAAATATAAATTTTTAATTAAGTAAATAAACTAATAAATAATCTAATAAACCAAACTCTAGTAGACTAGAAATCTAATAAACTAAATATAAACTAATTAATAAACTTTTTAATATAAACAAAAACCTAATAAACTAATTAATAAACTTATTAATTGTGACGGTGTATGGGTGTGTTACGGAAGTATAAGAAAAATAAAGCGAATTAACAATTCTAAATTGTTTTCTTAAATTTAAAAAGACATCCTGGAATTTATATTTTATTGTAATTCATACCTTTAAAATAGTAATTTGAATTATTGTTTATTTTGTTTATATTAAAAGTATATAAATGCAATAACGTAGCAACTGTTTATGTTGCCATATTATGCATTCTTTAAATTCATTTCAAGATTAAATTCCTTTTATTAAATCATTGAAATTTTGCCCTGCTGTTAGTATTGGAGAATAAAAATGGAATTAAAAGAAGAAATAAAATTTTGAAAAAATTTTTTTGATAATTAATTTTTAATTAATCTAATGATAAGATTAACAGTACTATTATTAAGTCCACATTAAAATCAACACTGATATCAGGTTCAACATTATTATTTCAATACTAATATTAAGTTCACATTATTATTTCAGTACTAATATTAAGTTCACATTGTTTCAGTACTACTATTAAGTTCACATTATTATTTCAGTAGTAATATTAAGCTCACATTAAAATTTAAATTTTAACCAAAATTATTCCTTAAAATTTCATAAATTATTAAATTGATTTTCAAATATAATCTAGTTATGGAAGTGTTATTTCATTCTGTTAATACCAATGTAACAAAAATTTTTCGACAATCTCAAGTACTTCTCAGTCATCTAAATAAACTTATAATATCCTGTGATACTTGAAAAATTAACAAGTGTACCTGTTGCAAACAAGTTAATGAATAAACAAGCAAATTGAAGTATAAACACAGCAATACTTGATGAAATGATAATGTAAAATATTAAGTATTATAGGAAGCAGTACTGATATTAAACTTAAACTAAATTTGTCCAAGTTAAATAAACCATTTCCTTTCATTCCTAAATTGAAATATTTATATTAAAATATTATCAATAGATTTTTTTCCTACTATTACCATAACCACTATTGACATTTGTTGCAATTTTAAATGATCGCAAAATTAAATAGTCAAATTGTTATCACGTAAAAACGACAATACGATTTATTTATATATTAACGCTTCATTGAAATTTTCAATTTATGTTTTATTTATCCTTTTTTATTAAATGTTTGCTTAGCAATTATTTTATTAATTTATTCATCCATCATTCCAACAATTTATTTATTTATCAGGTAAATAATAGGAAAAATTGCTATTTAATAAATGTTTGCTAAAAAATTTGATAAATTTAAAAAACATACCTTTAATTATAATTAAGTTTATATATCTGAAATTTGATATGTTATCGAACAAATCAAAAATATTGAAATAAATTTAATTTGTATTGAAAGAATAGCAAAAAAGGAAGATCGTTGTTCCATCGTTAATATTTAGCTGTCAATTTAATAGAATTTAATTTCTAACTAATTAGCAATTACGCCGACCCATTCATTCATTCAACAACTTATCCTTCTTATCCACCCGTAGCAACTAATTTCTGTCGTTGGTACGATTTCTAAACAGAGCGACCCATTTTTATTAAATTATTTCATTCAATGCCACCAATTATTTCATTATTATCAAATTAATAGTAATCGATTTATCAGAAAAAAAAAATTTGTAATTATTTTCATTAAGGAAATTGAGAAAAAAAAACAATAAATAGAAATGAATTGATTTAAAGTAATAATAATAATCTTAATCATAATATTTATAATCTTAATCATAATTATTTCGTTAATTACAGGAAAGTATAATAAATATGATAACATTTAAATATGTCTTAAAAAAACGTAAAATATTTTCAAATTTTCTGAAATATTTCCAATTGTTGGAGAAATACAAAATTAATTAATTAATTAAGGATGAATCCATTATATTGTGATAACAAATTGATTTTATCATAAGCAAGCATTGATCAAATCAACAAAATTATTTTCAACATAGAGTTCAATTGATAAATGTATGAACAATGCTAGGCTTAGTAAGGCATTCAATTTGTTTGATTTTGCAGCCCTATCAAATACCACTGAATATTTCAAATTTCATATTATAAAATAAAATTTCTTCTTTTCATCAAGTGCAATTATAAAATTAAATTGCTTCTAATTATGTTTAAAATTTTAAAATCGGAATGTCTTCTTTGAACTTTTGAAATTAATTAATTGGAGTACCATTTGCATGAATTAATTACATTAAATTTTAATTAATTTTTGGTTTTAACTTTTTGTTAATAATTACTCTAACAAATTTATATTAAAATATAAAAACTTTCTGCGAATTAGTTGCAGATGTGGTTTAACAATTTTAACAAAACAACAGTTGCCATCATATTTATCATATCATTACAATGATAACGAAATAATAGTCTGTCAATAATCTGAAATTTATTGGTGCTCAGGCTTAATATAAGTGAATCGCATAGCATTTTCCGTTTAAATTTATTATGGCAAAAACAAACGACTAAAACTAAGCAAAAATTTCCTGTTCAGTTAAAAGAATACATTATTAATAAATGACTATAATTTTAATAATGGATTAATCCGGTAAACACAACTGTTAATTTTCAAACCAACCAAGCACTATTTGAATTAGATTAAATTGCATTATTCATATTTCATATTTCAGTTAAATTACATATTCATATTTTATGAGTTAAAAGTTTAGTTAATCTTTCTATTATTATCATCAATGATTATTAGAATCAACATAATATTATGATTATTAATTTATCTCATGGTCAGAGAATATATCTCATAGCCATTACAATTCAGTATTTGAGGATGGTTTTAAAGCGTAAATGAAACTCATAATGTTATTAGTGTTAGTCCTAAAAATTGTTGATAGTTTTAAAAGCTTACTTCTCAATCTCTCTAATCTCATTCAAATTTTTCCCTTCCTCTCTCACTTCTCAATCATTTCTTTCAAATGCAAATTTTATTACTATCAAAACTAATATCAGCGAAATATTAATTCGAAGCGCTATTACTCCTTAATTGGATAATACAACAAATTATCATTAATCATTTACAAACAATACACTTCAACTGATAAATTAAAATACTGAAATAATAATCATTAAGTTGATAATGGCATTTTTAAATTAATATATTTATTTCTAACAGTAACGTCAAGTGAAATAAGCAAGTTTAGTTGAAATGAAGAAGCAAAATTTTGTCTATTTCCTCTTCTTCTAATATGTTGATTACAAAAAAATGAATCATCCTAATAAATGATTCTAAAATTCTCGAAATTTTGATATCAGAGAAAAAAAAGAAAGGCTATCCCGAAAAGTAAGATCATTTATGCATATTTAATGGAATTAAAATTGGATGATTGGAATTGTATAAAATGCAACATTTTAGAAGTACCATTACAGTTGGAATATGACACTTAGAAGTACCACTATAGTTAAATATGACGCTTAAAAGTACCACTACAGTTGAATAAAGAAATGGATTAAGATTTATACCGCGAAGCAGTATATTACTTTATTAATTTATAAAAAAGAAAAATCCGCTGTTACGCATTTCTCCCCGTAGTATATCATAGAAATTTCATGAGATTTATCGTCACAATTGTTGTTATTAATCTTCGATCTTACAAAACGCATATATGTTTAATTGGGTTCGAACAAATTCAAACAGTTCATTATTCGATATTACACAAAGTTCCGTGATTCCCATCATCGATTTCACATCCTTTCAACACAATTCTCGACATAAATTAAAAGCTATCAGTGTGAATTTCCTTAAATTAACGAAAATTCAAAATTTACCGACTACTAAAAGGTAATTATGAAACACGTTTTCAATAATAGTTGAATCGTTAATTAATTTGCTCGAGCAGCTTAACTACAATCAATCCATCCAGTTGAAATATTCCAATTTTTCTTCATCAAATATTACAATTGTATCTTTCGATTGTAATTTTACACTTCATGCAAGTAGCGAACTCAACATTTGACGTATTAGTAACAATATCACTTCTTATCATTGCATGCCGAAAACTCCCGAAAGGTTTAACTCTAAGTATTTAATGAATCACTAAAAAATATAACTGAAGAATTTACAAAATCACTTAAATGCTCATATTACTGCTTGATATATTTGTTGTTGGCAGGGTATTTCCTCATCATATGATATCTCAGCGTTATATCAAGATTGCAGGCACAAAATTTGAAGTATTGGGATTTTTTAATATAATGAAATATTTGATTGTTCAGAGTTTCAATCAGGTAGCTGTAAACAGACATTCAGGAAAACATAATACTGATATCCGATTGTTTTGCGTCTGATAAGTCCCCATAAGTTTGACAATGAACACCGTAAAATGAGCCATAGTGGAAACACCTCTCTATATTTGCAAATTCAAACCTTTGTAATGTTTCCCATTTCATAGAAAAAAGCAACATGAATCAATGATTCAGAATATCTTTTATTACCATGTGCGAACTTTAAAGTTCATTAATCAATTCTCTAGTTTATTTTTGTAACATATTAAATGCCCCGTTCTCGGCTCAAATTCAAAACAACAAACAGAAATATATATATACAAGCCGAACAACAACTATAGAGAGTCAACCGCGTATCTATGTCCACGCTCGTTATGCGCATGTGAGGTAGGAAAATTTTAGTTATATACTTTCAAGTGCCTTTGAAACCCGAACCTCCATTGCTCAATGCAATGAGCTTGTCGCTAAGCTTGTTAGCAAACTGATTCCGGAATTCTGGTGATATTACATTTAGCAGCTGATAAATCGTTTCAAAATAACGGGTATGCAAATCGAGCTGCCGATAATCACCATTCATACTATCGTGACGATCCGATGCAACACGCCATCCACGTTGTGTCAATTCAATACAGTATGTACGGTCTGGAACAAAAAAGCAATAACTCATTAAAGTCACATTAGCTAAAATCCAAATTCTCTTACAAATTATGACGGATAAAAAAGAAATAGCTACACGACCCGCCAAAAATTTTATAAAAGATAGCTAATACGATTTTGCTCTTTCTCTTACTCCATCCGAGTTACATATCCTGCTCAATTTCAAAAGGATTCTGAACTTGTAGGTATGGATTCAAGAAATATTTTCAAGAAATAACGTAGACAAATAAGTTGAACGTACAAATCATCACGACGTCCCGGAAATAAGTAGCTCAAGACAGGGAAACCGAATAAAGCTGTGTCTAATACAACAGCAAAGACTCAGAATATAAGCATGCATGATGTGATAACACATGCATGATTTACTTAAGTGCATAATTTTCTCTGATGAATAAAAAGTATCATCAAATACTTCGAGCGATTTTTATCTCTATTGAAATAAACGATTGAAAATATGAAATGAAAAAAAAAAATAAATGCACTACTTTAATGAGAAATGGATAAACGAGTGAAAATACCTTCCAGCGTGATAAGATTCATGAAAATCAAATCAGAAGTTCGTGGTAATGATTCTGGTAATGATATCATTCGGACGGCAAAGCCAACTTCACGAATGGCAGCAAGAGCTTCTTTTTCCAAAAGCGAATCACCCAAGCCAAAATTTGCACACTGTTCGGCAATATCGCTGCAAAATGCAGATTGTACAGTTTATGAACGACTGATTACTCTCTGAAACATAATTTTTTCTTTGTTTGATAAGAATAATTTAAAGATTTTGTTAAACACGTGAAAGTTTAAATGTGATCACATGGAGCAATAAATGGTGTTATGAGTAAACTATGGGCTCAAATGAATATGTTGACAGATGCATTATCTTCATGGCTAAAATTAAATAATTCCTAATCTCAATAAACAATTTCATAGCTAAACTTTACGTGTCAATGAAGTCTACTAATACACTTTTTCCACACAATACCCTCAAGCACAGCTGTACTGCATTTATCCTATAGGCTCTAACGGTTGTAATTTTATCAAATTTGTACTTCAACATATCCGCAGTTTGTGCCGGTGATAACGCTGACACTGACACTTTCTTGTTATCACCGCTATCTTCAGAAATGGATTCTATACGAAGCCTACCGGAGCCATCCATTATTGTCTATCATCAAACATCGATCTGCTACTGAAAGCGACACAGTAAATTAGATAATTGTAATTGGAAAATTAAAGAATTCTGTACAGCAAATGGAAAAGTTCAAAAATCAAAAAATTCTGTACGAAAAAATGAAAAAATGAGGCATCCAATATTGAACAATTTATAAGCAAAAATGAAACCAAAATATCGGGAAAATTAAGAACAGAAATGAAACACTTCATTCCGATGAGAAAATCACGCTGACTGACAAATTTACAGATAAGAAAAGCACAAGATATATAGTGTAGGAATAGACGATCAAAAGGCTATGATACTTGAATATTGAGTTGTAGTGCTACGATACTAAGTCTGTTATCGAGTACCACGTATTCAAATCTAGTACAGCTAGAAAACAGCAATAATCACGCGAAATCAGCAACGCAGGAAAAGCGTAGGTCTCGCCCCACCCTGCCCACTGCAGCCCGAAAATAGTCTCACCCGGAATTTATTCGTAACGTGATCAACATCGCTACATTCGTGATGTCTGGTTCTCTCAAATTCTCGCATTGCTTTCATTTCTTTTTCCTTGCAATGTAGATTTTTTCCTGGCCAGGTATTATTAGGAGGATGTGGCTCGTGGGTATGGGGGTGCTCGTGGTTTGATCTTGTTATTAGCCTGGTTTACACGCTGCCATTATTTATTTACGTATTTGGTAGCATTTATTTTACTATGCTAATATCATTTTGCGTAGTACTTTGATATTGCTCGCTTAAATTATTAAAGACATGCACACATAACTCTTCATAAAAGATTGTCATTAATTTAGTACATTTCAAGCCATATACCTTCAATAAAATGTTCTAAAAACAATGTGTCACGTCGAAGTACGTTTCTTGAAATATTAAAAAAACTAGATTTGAGTGTGTTTTTTAAGTTGTTCATCGTCATATCACAGGTTCGTTGCCTTTTTCTGGATGGCAAATCGGACGGTAAAAGATGCGGTTACCGTAAAAGGGACAAATCCCCAGTATTTAGTGGAAAAAATTATCCGCACACGAATTTATGATTCGAAATATTGGAAGGAAGAATGTTTTGCGCTAACTGGTAAGTAATTGAGTTATGAAATTCCGTATTGGTAAGAAATTCCTCCGTGACAGTTTTTTCTACCTAATATTTGACTGTGTCGTTAATGCTTTTTACATGTTATGAAGCAGTTACCTTCGTGTCAATCTTTGTTACATATATACATAACTTCGATGTTCGACATGCTGTAAATGCAAGCAAATCATTATAGTGTAATTGCAGCTGAACTTTTGGTAGACAAAGGAATGGAGCTACGGTATATCGGTGGAATCTATGCAGGAAACGTGAAACCGACACCGTTTTTATGTCTGTGTTTGAAAATGCTACAAATTCAACCAGAGAAAGATATCGCCGTTGAGTTTATTCGACAGGAAGAATACAAGTAAGTTATCAAGTCTAACTGATGAGAGATTTATAATCCAATTTCGTCATTGCATTGGAATTTTGTCATTGAGTTGCTCTACTTCAGATATATTCGCGCGCTTGGAGCAATGTACATCCGGCTCACGTTCACTTCTATCGAAGTTTATAAATATTTGGAACCGTTGTACAACGATTATCGGAAGTTGCGAATAATGAACAATGATGGAAGTAAGCTTAAAGTTGAAGCAGTTATTATTATAACTGATCTATGAAGATTAGAACTCTGTTTAAATTTAGATTTTTATAGGGTTTGAAATTGTTCATATGGATGAATTTATTGACAATTTACTGCGTGTGGAACGATACTGTGATATTCATTTACCGAGGATACAGGTATTCCATGCATCATACTTTTCTTTCTATGTGATTTCTCCCTGATTTATTCATGCTGCTGTTGGCAGCGGTGAGATAAGTTTTATCAA